ACCCCCATTTCCCTTTGAAAGGGGCGTAGTGGCAAATATTGAAAAATTTGAATTATCACAACTTTCGGACCGAAATTGTAAGGGCCGGGGTGGTTCAGCATTTTGGAGGAAAAAATTTAATTTTTTTAATTGGCTAGTTTCCCCATAATGAATGTACATACATGCGATTAGATGGATCCTGAACCCTATATCCCTTTGAAAGGGGCGTAGGGGCAAATATTGTAAAAATTTGAATTATCACAACTTTCGGCCGAAAGTGTAAGGGCCGGGGTGGTTCAGCATTTTTGAGAAAAATATTATATTTTTTCAATTGGCTAGTTTCCCCAAAATGAATGTACATACATGCGATTAGATGGATCCCGAACCCTATATCCCTTTGAAAGGGGCGTAGGGGCAAATATTGTAAAAATTTGAATTATCACAACTTTCGGACCGAAATTGTAAGGGCCGGGGTGGTTCAGCATTTTGGAGGAAAAAATTTAATTTTTTTAATTGGCTAGTTTCCCCATAATGAATGTACATACATGCGATTAGATGGATCCTGAACCCTATATCCCTTTGAATGGGGCGTAGGGGCAAATATTGTAAAAATTTGAATTATCACAACTTTCGGCCGAAAGTGTAAGGGCCGGGGTGGTTCAGCATTTTTGAGAAAAATATTATATTTTTTCAATTGGCTAGTTTCCCCAAAATGAATGTACATACATGCGATTAGATCGATCCTGAACCCTATATCCCTTTGAAAGGGGCGTAGGGGCAAATATTGTAAAAATTTGAATTATCACAACTTTTCGGGCCGAAGTTGTAAGGGCCGGGGTGGTTCAGCATTTTGGAGGAAAAAATTATATTTTTTGAATAGGCTAGTTTCCCCATAATGAATGTACAGACATGCGATTAGATGGATCCTGAACCCTATATCCCTTTGAAAGGGTTGTAGGGGCAAACATTGTAAAAATTTGAATTATCACAACTTTCGGGCCGAAACTGTAAGGGCTGGGGTGGTTCAGCATTTTTGAGAAAAATATTATATTTTTTCAATTGGCTAGTTTCCCCAAAATGAATGTACATACATGCGATTAGATGGATCCTGAACCCTATATCCCTTTGAAAGGGGCGTAGGGGCAAATATTGTAAAAATTTGAATTATCACAACTTTCGGGCCGAAACTGTAAGGGCTGGGGTGGTTCAGCATTTTTGAGGAAATTTTTTTTTTTTTTTATTAGGCTAGTTTCCCCACAATGAATGTACATACATGCGATTAGATGGATCCTGAACCCTATATCTCTTTGAAAGGGGCGTAGGGGCAAATATTGTAAAAATTTGAATTATCACAACTTTCAGCCGAAATTGTAAGGGCCGGGGTGGTTCAGCATTTTGGAGGAAAAAATTATATTTTTTGAATAGGCTAGTTTCCCCACAATGAATGTACATACATGCGATTAGATGGATCCTGACCCACATATCCCTTTGAAAGTGGCGTATGGGCAAATATTGTAAAAATTTGAATTATCACAACTTTCGGACCGAAATTGTAAGGGCCGGGGTGGTTCAGCATTTTTGAGGAAATTTTTTTTTTTAATTGGCTAGTTTCCCCATAATGAATGTACATACATGCGATTAGATGGATCCTGAACCCTATATCCCTTTGAATGGGGCGTAGGGGCAAATATTGTAAAAATTTGAATTATCACAACTTTCGGCCGAAAGTGTAAGGGCCGGGGTGGTTCAGCATTTTTGAGAAAAATATTTTTTTTTTTCAGTTGGCTAGTTTCCCTAAAATGAATGTACATACATGCGATTAGATGGATCCTGAACCCTATATCCCTTTGAAAGGGGCATAGGGGCAAATATTGTAAAAATTTGAATTATCACAACTTTCGGGCCGAAACTGTAAGGGCCGGGGTGGTTCAGCATTTTGGAGGAAAAATTTTAATTTTTTTAATTGGCTAGTTTCCCCATAATGAATGTACATACATGCGATTAGATGGATCCTGAACACTATATCCCTTTGAAAGGGGCGTAGGGGCAAATATTGTAAAAATTTGAATTATCACAACTTTCGGGCCGAAACTGTAAGGGCCGGGGTGGTTGAGCATTTTGGAGGAAAAATTTTAATTTTTTTAATTGGCTAGTTTCCCCATAATGAATGTACATACATGCGATTAGATGGATCCTGAACAATATATCCCTTTGAAAGGGGGGTAGGGGCAAATATTGTAAAAATTTGAATTATCACAACTTTCGGGCCGAAACTGTAAGGGCCGGGGTGGTTCAGCATTTTGGAGGAAAAATTTTAATTTTTTTAATTGGCTAGTTTCCCCATAATGAATGTACATACATGCGATTAGATGGATCCTGAACACTATATCCCTTTGAAAGGGGCGTAGGGGCAAATATTGTAAAAATTTGAATTATCACAACTTTCGGGCCGAAACTGTAAGGGCCGGGGTGGTTGAGCATTTTGGAGGAAAAATTTTAATTTTTTTAATTGGCTAGTTTCCCCATAATGAATGTACATACATGCGATTAGATGGATCCTGAACAATATATCCCTTTGAAAGGGGGGTAGGGGCAAATATTGTAAAAATTTGAATTATCACAACTTTCGGGCCGAAATTGTAAGGGCCGGGGTGGTTCAGCATTTTGGAGGAAAAAATTATATTTTTTGAATTGGCTAGATTCCCCACAATGAATGTACATACATGCCTTTTGATGGATCCTGACCCCCATATCCCTTTGAATGGGGCGTAGTGGTAAATATTGTAAAAATTTGAATTATCACAACTTTCGGGCCGAAACTGTAAGGGCCGGGGTGGTTCAGCATTTTGGAGGAAAAATTTTAATTTTTTTAATTGGCTAGTTTCCCCATAATGAATGTACATACATGCGATTAGATGGATCCTGAACACTATATCCCTTTGAAAGGGGCGTAGGGGCAAATATTGTAAAAATTTGAATTATCACAACTTTCGGGCCGAAACTGTAAGGGCCGGGGTGGTTGAGCATTTTGGAGGAAAAATTTTAATTTTTTTAATTGGCTAGTTTCCCCATAATGAATGTACATACATGCGATTAGATGGATCCTGAACAATATATCCCTTTGAAAGGGGGGTAGGGGCAAATATTGTAAAAATTTGAATTATCACAACTTTCGGGCCGAAATTGTAAGGGCCGGGGTGGTTCAGCATTTTGGAGGAAAAAATTATATTTTTTGAATTGGCTAGATTCCCCACAATGAATGTACATACATGCCTTTTGATGGATCCTGACCCCCATATCCCTTTGAATGGGGCGTAGTGGTAAATATTGTAAAAATTTGAATTATCACACCTTTCGGGCCTAAATGGTAAGGGCAGGGGTGGTTCAGCATTCTGGAGGAAAATATTATATTTTTTTAATAGGCTAGTTTCCCAAAATGAATGTATATACATGCCATTAGATGGATCCTGACCCTCATATCCCTTTGAAAGGGGCGTAGTGGCAAATATTGAAAAATTTGAATTATCACAACTTTCGGGCCGAAATGGTAAGGGCCGGGGTGGTTCAGCATTTTGGAGGAAATTTTTTTATTTTTTTATTAGGCTAGTTTCCCCACAATGAATGTATATACATGTGATTAGATGGATCCTGGACCCTATATCCCTTTGAAAGGGGCGTAGGGGCAAATATTGTAAAAATTTGAATTATCACATCTTTTCGGGCCGAAGTTGTAAGGGCCGGGGTGGTTCAGCATTTTGGAGGAAAAAATTAATTTTTATGCCTCCGCCACCCAGGGTGGTGCTGGAGGCATCATGTTTTCGGGTTGTTCGTCCGTACGTCCGTACGTCCGTACATCCGTCCGTACGTCCGTCCCATAGGAAGACAATCTGATCAGATTTTGGAGCACGTAGGTCAAAGGTCAAGGGTCACAGAGGTCAACTTATGAAATTCCATACATTGAGATTGTTATCATGATATCTCAAGAACCACTGGAGATTTAAACTCCAAACTTAATTGTTTAAATTGCTCTATGGCGGAGGCATCATTTTCGACTGCGCGCAGTCAAAATTCCATCTAGTTATAGCCTGTTTTATGTATTTTTCTCATGGAAAAACGGTTGGGAAAATTCAAAAATTGTTGGGAGAATTTACTGTTAATCACTGTTAGAGGGTGCCTCACATCGACGCCTTCAAAGAAAACCATAGATATCTTTGTGGTTTGAAAATTTGTTCAGGATTTTTTGCATGTCAGAGGGTTAGTATAGTAAAAGGAATATAGTAAGTAACATTTTATACAAAAATTAATCAATTTTTTTCATCAGCTTTCAACAATGTTACCGAGTCACTTTAACGGTAAAGACCAGTTATGGTCATGCGATTGCATTGTGAAAGAAACGTTGTGGAATCGATCAGAAAAGGTTGATCATCTAGCATATACATGTAAGTATTGGTGTGTACTGCAAGGTTCTGGAATCATCAAAATGATAAGAAATATGTCCCAGTCTTCGTAAAGTTACAAGCGCTGTACACAGAAAGATGTATATGGGACTATACGCACACGTGCGCGATACGTGTGTTTATCTCTCACAGACCATGTAGATAAACTTATTTACTAAATATATCAATTAGTAGTCGGTTTCCTGGCAAAATTGTTATCATCATGTATTAGTCAAAACATATTCTTTCACATGATTGGTAATAAGAGCTTCCATTTCATTTTTTGAAATTGGGGCGTTTCCAATACTGGTCTTTACCTTTAAATGTACAGTGTACCAATCGCCAGTAGGCCTACTTATTTTGCTCTTGATATAAGGGGTTTCATGTGATACTGAATTGAAAATTGATATTGGAAAAGGAAAAAAAGGGGGCTTGTCCGGGAGTCGAACCTGGAACCTCTAGCAAGTTGCAGGTTTCTTACAGAAAGATAAATAGTAATGAAAATTCTAAAATAAGTAGTCCATCCAATCTTCATTTCGATACGCTATCAGATAATTGATACAATTATATTTCGTCATCTGTATAATGGATGTCTTTTCATGTCAAAATGGAAAATTGATACGTTCCACTTGTAGTGTTTATTATGAGGCACCATTGTTCACATATTTTTTGTAGCCGTATCACAAATTATGTTGTTCAGGTGAGTGACACACTAAAGCGTAAAGACTGTTAATTCATTACTTTCCTCTCTAACTGAGATGTATTATGGAAAAATATTGATGATCTTCCATTTCTTGTCTTCCATCATTTTTTGTGTTTTTCTTTGTTTACTTTGAATTTATAATTTATATGATAACGGTAGCCATTAGCCAATTAAAAAGAAATTGCTCGAAATCTCTCCATCCATGTCCATATCTCATATCAACTAAAATCATGAATTTCTATAATCCTTCTTGTCTTATAGATGTAATTGTAACTATTTAACATTATATCCCTGTGTATTTTTAAGGAAAATAATTCACTTTTTACCATCTTCCATTTTCATCTCCAAAAAGCTATTTAATAAGATTGCATTTTCCCTTTCCCTTTCCCTTTCCCTTTCCTTTGCAGATGGCAAACTGATGTTCAAGCAAGTTCCTCTGCTGGAGATCGATGGCAAGAATCTTATTGGGAGTGAGTGCGTTCTTCGCTATGTCTGCAACAAGGCTAAACTACAAGGGAAGTCAGATGACGACCAAACCAAGTAAGCGGTAGGAAGTGGGTTAATTGTTATAATTTTGACCCACATATATGCGTACAGAGGAACCTTGTAATAAAGAATACTTACAGCACATAGGGATTACTTTAGTAGTCCCGTATCCGATTGGTTTCTTCAGCCTGATAATACTAGCCATAACACTAATCCTAACCTCAAAACCCTCATTGTCATAAAAATCTGTCTGTTTTTTTTTCTTCTTCAAAGTACAGTTATAGATTTTCACAAAAATCCAAAACTTATATTTTCATATTAAACAACCTACAAAAGGGTCATTATTTCTCTTTTGTATACCGGTACTCATGCTTTCAGAAAGTTTCACTAGAATGTTCATAATTTTCTCTCAGTTTCCAACCTAGCTTAATTTTCTATGAAAAGTCTATTCCCACTGAGCATTTCTTTAAATTGTATCATTTTAGGATTGAGATGCTGTCGATGGGAGCCAAGGACATGCTGAATGCAGGATTCAGTGGTGCTAAGTTTGAGGCAACGTCGGAGAAGGAAGAAGAGATGTTGCAGAGTGCAGCCAAGCAGTGCAAGGATAGGTACCTACCAGTCTTCGAAAAAGTGAGTTTGTATAAGGAAACTTAGTTCCAGGGGGGTGTTTCACAAAGATCTTAAGTCGAACTTAGCTCTCAGTTGGACTTAAACATTACCGAGAGCCATTTGTAGCCTTACGGTAATATAAAATATAAAGTATAAAGTATTTAGTCTTTTCATAAATTCCACATCAAGAACATGAAATCTCCTTGAAAATAGAAATAAGTTTTACAAAATATTTTCAAAGCTGCTAACAGCTTTTCATAATTGTTATATTCCACCTTGAGAGATAAGTTCAACTTAGGATCTTTGTGAAACACCCCCTGTTTAGCAGGGAATGTGATGTGTAACTGCCAATCATCCCGTTCTTTGGAGGAATGATTCTTAGTTTTGGGCCTTCAAACTTTTGTTATGGACCTTAGATTCCTCTCTCCTTCGGGATAGTTGTGTGTAAAACTGTATTTCTGTGTTATTTATTTGCATGCAGGTTTTGGGTGAGAATAAGTCTGGGTTCCTTGTCGGAGATTCGCTCACTATGGCTGACCTCATGTTCTTTGACGGTCTCAGCTTCGTGAACGAGATCCCCCAGGTCAAGCCGTTGTTAGATGAATTTCCAAACTGCAAGGTAGGTTGAAGAACTTCACCCTTTGACCCCTGGATCATTGCATTCCCATAGGTTTACCCATAGCATATCAGAGTTGTATATAGGTCTGAATAAATTGGTTTTGCTCTTCAAATTGGCAACAGTTATTTATATTTCCCACTCTTTCACAGTTTAAAAAATATAGGCATGTATATGATATGAAATATTGTGAGTGATAATTACGACAACAAAACACAAGAAATTGTCAATTTATACACAGAACCTGGTATAAAAAGGGTTTTGATAATAAAGGGTAATTTCCCCTTTCCTAAGGACTTTGTAACAACAAAGTTCATGTGTCCTAGTAGTTCTGAGTAAAGCTATACATTGCTGCATGTCTCTTATTTTGGTTCAAGAATAAACTTACAAACTTCCAGTCATCATTAGAGCCAATGATATCACAGAATCTCATGGATTTGTGTATTGTTCCTTCTGAAGTATGTAATGGTTCCATATTCCTACCAGAGAAAACTTGTAAACAATTCCATTTGTTGTCTGATAGAGATATTAGAAATAGGATAGTTTACGTCATGTTATATATTGATCAAAAATATTTGGAAATCGTCTATATAAGTGTACTGCCCATTTATTTAAGATCAGTGCTGGGGTGGGGATGCATGGGTCATTAAATCAGTCTTTTTTGTTCTTTCTCTTTTTGTGTCACAGGCCTTCATCGTCCATTTCTCTATTCAGCCAGGAATTAAAGAGTACCTTGCTAGCCCAAGGCGCCACCCTCCTCCCAACGATGAGTATGTGCAGGGTGTCCGGAAAGTCCTGATTCCACCAAGTTCCTAATGCATGTTGTGTGCTAGGCAAGTTTGACAATCACAATGGATCCATCTCATATTCACCACCTTTCAGCAACAAGCAATCTATGTTCAGGGTTTCAGTGAAAAAAATACAAGGGGGGCTCGGGCGAGATAGCCCCCGAAAAGCCCAAAAGAGCCCCCGAAAATCAGAAAAGGGCCCTGTAAATTTGCATAGAGTTCAATGCAAAACAAATTTTAGAATGTTAGTTTCATGTAGGCAAGCTTGAAAAGTAGTGTCGAATGTTAAAGGGTAATCCAACCTTAGAGGTATAGACCAGTTTTTGAAATGCCCCCCTCTCAAAAAGTGAAATGGAAGCTCTTATTACCAATCATGTGAAAGAATATGTTTTGACTAGTACGTGATGATACAAATTTTGCCGGGAAACCGCCTACTAATTGATATGTTTGGTAATTTATCATATCGATTCGGCCTTGATAGATATCGCAAAGTTTGAATTAAATCAGACCAGTAATAGGATGAGGGAGTTATGAAAATTTGAAATGTGAGATCACTAAATCTATGCAAATCTTTAATTGACAATTTGGTCAGTGAATTATGACGAATCATAGATAACTTCCCCATTTGTCAAGTACACAAATATTATTAGTTTCTGTTTTTCTTCTAAGTGCCTTCTACTTTGGGGCACTACACAACATATTATATGGACAGCAAATTATTATACAACTGTAGTTTTTCAAAAAAGTAGAAAATAAACCTAAAATGATTTTCCAATTCAGCCAGTTATAAGTGCCCATAGTTATTTACTGATTGTAACTTTCTGATTTCTTTTAGAATAGTTTTCTATTAATTAAGGTTGGATTTTCCTTTAAGTCTCTATAAGAGACTAGTTGTAATGAGTGTCACTGAGGTGTAATGAGGCTATTATGATAGTTCTGGAAGTGGTCCAAGTATATGGTCAATGTGGCTGTTTTTTTTTATACCTTCTGAAATCGTATATGTATGTTTTGCCTATTGGAAATGATTGTAAATCCATGTTTTCATATATCAGTTTTCCAAACATACCTACAAGTACATCTGCCAAAATAAAACACAATTTTCAGTACTTGTCTTTCATCATATTCCACAGTATTTGTTAATTATTATCATTTTAAATCCTTAATCATGTACATGTATATCTTTCTGTTACTTCAAAAGCATGCAGCTGTATGAGACTTTAATAAAGAAACAAAGAAACTATACAATTTATCCAGCATTTCTAGTAGTTATCTTTTGTCTTTTGTTTTAATGGAAGAAAATCTCCTTTTTTGTCGCCCACATACAGGTAAACACTAAGTTGTATTCTTGTTTCTAGATAAAAGTCTAAAAGTATTCAACAAAGACCCTAATTCAATTCAACTACCTTTCATTCTGGAGTTATGAAAAACAAAAAACACATCAAATTTACAAGGGGTATGAATAATTTAGTTGTCAATTATAAGATGGGTAGAAGAATCCCTGCAATCTGATTGGTCAATTACCATGTAATTTTTTTTACTGGACTTTTTTTTTTTTCATAGGTTTTTATCCGTTTCTCTCAAAGAAAAATTGTACATTTATAACATTGGATACAAAATAACAAAATAATTTAACATAGGTCTTTATAAATTTACCAATGATCTTTTACATTTACATACAAAAGTTACACCTCTTCATTTTCCTTTGGAGACAAAAAAATTATCTATATAAAAAAAGAGAAAAAGCTACAAAACACCTACTACCCCCCCCCCCCCCCCCCCACCCCACACAACATTTAAACACATAACATGTACAACAGTATACAAAACACACGCTAACATAGAACGAGCAAAAAAAAAAAGAAGAGAAGAGAGGAGGGTCAGGAAGTTGTATATTGAGAGAAAAAAAAAACTGAAAACATTTATTCTAAACTTTCCAAAGCTTCCCATTTCCTTAAATGAATTGAAAGTGTGTCTCTTTCCATTGAAAGTTTTTTCTCTTCATTTCTATTTTCCAACTATCTATATTCTATTTCTTTTGCTTCTGGAGGGTTTCCCTTCTCTCTACTGTGGAAAATCATATATTTAATCAAAATTAAAATGTGGTTCAATAATTGCTCTGTTTTAAAAGTAGTGTCATCTATTCTTATATGAATTTCTTTCCAGGATAATTTCTTCAAAATTGGTAAATTAAGTCTATCTCCACATTTCCCCCAGACTTCCTTTATTGTATTACATTCAAAGAATACATGTTGATAAGTTTCTTCAAAATTTTTGCAAAATGAGCTCAAACCATTTTCATGGAACCTGAATCTATGTAAATGATGATTTGTATATAAAATATTATGCAATAATTTGAACTGAAATTCTCGCAGTTTACTACTTAAGGTACACATCCTTGGTTGAACATATATCTTTTCTACTTCTTTTCTTGGAATATTGTAAAGTGTCATTAAATTGCCGCCTGCCGAGTTATCGGCGATCGATACCACCGATATCCTTTTTAAAAAAAATTCTCATTTAATTTTTTTTTTTTCTTTAGTTACTTTTATTGTAAAGTTTAAGATATTTGAATAAAATCAGTGAAAATTTGAACATATTCGGGCAAGGAATAAGGAAGTTAAAGCTTTTTGAAATGACTAGTCACTAGAGGGCGATATTCAATTTGATGCATCATCTTTGGACAACTCTCCATGCCTTTTGTACATACAATTTCATGTTTTTCCTTCTTTCTTGTGATTGAGATAATCTACTCCCCTGAAAGCAAGGTATAAAACGCAAAATGATATTCTACTTCACATATTATGAGGTCGGATCAAGAACACAAATAAATACGAAGAAAAGCATGGAGAGTTGTCCACAGATGATGTCATCAAATTGAATATCGCCCTCTAGTGACAAGTCATTTCAAAAAGCTCTAACTTCCTTATTCCTTGCCCGATTTTGTTCAAATTTTCACTGATTTTATTCAAATCTTTTAAACATAATAAAAGTAACTTAGTATGAAGGTTTTGGTTCCCTTTAATAATTTTTTTTTTTAATGATTTTTTTTTGGTGATAATTATTTGTTTTTCGTGTTTTTTGATAATTATAATTATTTTTTAATTTCATGATAAGTTAAAAATCATGCGTCCGGTAAAAAAAATCATGCGTCCGGTAATTACCGGATGCATGATTTTGCCATGCATCCAATTAATCTGTAAAATAACAAAATTTTGTATTTTTGACAATTTTTTGGGCTACATGTATCTTATAAAACCGATGATGCACAGGTTTAATTCGTGGGTCTGTGGAATTGTGTGCACGCGGTACCTTTGAATTTGGTCTAAAACCATTCAAAGGTACCTCGTGCACACAATCCCTACCGACGCACTCAAACCTGCGCATCATTTGTATACTGTATTATGTTAAATGGATGGAAGTTTGCTATTGTCAAATATTCTGCTGAAGGAGCACCAAAAACAAGAACAAGAACAGCAACAACAAATCCTTTGGGGATCAGAATTCAATGTACCTACTGATATGTATCTTTTTTTTCTGACAAGAATTTTGTTGAGGGCGAGACTAGAGAGGAGTTTGTTTACTAATCACCCCCCCCCCCCGATACAAATAGGGATTCTTTTGTCTTCTCCATGACTTGGTATGCCCTGTTCAGATTTGACGGGGCAAAACTGTGGTGTTCTTTTAAAAGGATGTGTAAAGTGTAATTTGCTTCTTAATTCTGTATCTTATAATACAGATCTCAGTGAATACGCGCGCAGGACCTTTGTTTTGTGCAGCTGCCATTGATTTATTGCGGCAGTTTACCGCGTCATACTCGTATCTGAACTAGCTTTTAATCCTAAAAGCTGATGTGTATGTTTTATATCCTCGCTTTATCATTCCTAACATTACAATGATGTAGGCTAGCATTTCAAGGAATGAATTCCTGTCCGCTACCATTGACTTCACCTGGGTCGAGTGTGGCAAATGTAGATTAATGTCTTACCAAAGGACATCAGTGCAGTGGCATGGTTTTGAACCCCGTACCTTGTGATCTGCAATCTGGTGACTTATCCATTAGACCACAACACAATGATATCGATTTTTTGTTGTTGTAAACAGTTGCTTTTATTTCTTTCCAAAAATACACATTAAACATTGTGAGAGGATATTATCTTTTAAATATTTCAGTTGCAGATAAATGGTAGTTACCAAACCAATTCCTTTTTTCTATATTGCCTAACATGCTGCAAATATAGACGGTAAAATGACATAGTAAACTGCAGAAAATTTACCATTTTAGACAGAAATGGCTTACAATTGCTTGGTGAACTAGCTTCGTGAAAATGCATCCCAAATTAAGGGATTATTATGAAGGCACAAATGTTGCTAGCTTGATTTCAAATTGGGAAAATAATTATTTTCAGACAGGAACATAATATTGAATTTGAATAGACAAGACTACACAATAGAAAGTCATGAACAAATTTGATTACAAACAGAAGACGAAAATATCTGAACACCGAACTCAAAGAAAATGTTAATTCTTTCAAGAAACTTGACGCTAGATCAACATGATTAGAAATTATTTTAAAAAATATATTTTTCTATAATTCCATTTTATATTTAAAAATTATTTGAAAAATCTTATATGATATCCAAGGAAGTTATGCAAACACCTAGGCAGTTCAACCTTTCAAAGCATTTGATTACAAAATACCAACAAAATATATATGTAATTGAACTTGGTTTAATTGCACAAACGGTATCTGCGCATACTTTTCTTTACAGAGAATTTATTCCTTCAGCAAAATCATGTACTGTACGTGTACAACATGGAACTATTGAGAAGTATGCGAAAGCCTGAATGCTTAAAAAAACCCTCTTTAATCACAAATAAACAAGAAGAAAAAAATCCCCCAAAAATCGAGGAAACCTTTAACCGCCGAGTTTTTATGGAAAAAAAAAATTAACTACCAAGTAGTTGTCGACCGCCATGACGATTACCAGTCCAGCACCAGGTTGACCACCCGTACATACTCGTCATCGGGAGGTGCATGACGTCTGGGGCTGTTAAGGTACTCCTTAAGCCCCGGTTGGTTGGAAAAGTGTTTGATGTATGCCTGTGTGACCAGAAAACAAACAGACAGGGTCCGGTTTCATAACACTTATTATTGATAATAACTTATATTTTATAAACTACTGAAATATGGGCATTTATAATAATAATACAATGTACATGTAATAATAATACGTCTTGTTTACATAGGGTAGCCTCATCAGTATTAATACTTTACTCCCTTAGGGCCCTGCAATCATATTTGATTTTCTATATCAAAGCAGATTGCCAGTGATCTTCGGCAGTTATTGAAAGCATTTTTTATGAAACGGCCCAAAATCTATAATAGTGATTAAATTCCCCATTTGTTATCAGGGGCAATTCAACAAGTAAGGTTAGGAGGGGGTGTAATTATTACCAATTTTCTAGTAGCCTTTAATAGTTCATTACCAATTTACCATCAGAAATGTTGAATGAGAGGATGTTACCATGGACCAGGGACATATCATGTCCCTGCATGGACCTACTACGTGGTGTTAAGCCTCTATTGACCCCCTAATTTCTGACCAAATGGCATTCCTGAATCCCACCCGTGAACGAACCTACAATAATTGTCGAAACAGGGGCGTGGCAAGGCCATTGAAGCCATTGAAGAAAACAAACAAACGGGGAGGATCATTATTTTCAATAATCGGGAGGGGGCCTGCAGCCTTCCACACCCCTCCCCCATTTCGAGTTTGTACGCCAATTACATACCTTGAGGTTTGGGAAGTCATCTAGCAATGGTTTGATTTTAGGGATCTCGTTCACGTAGCTGAGACCATCAAAGAACATGAAGTCAACTATGGTGAGGGAATCTCCTACTAGGAATCCAGACTTACTCTCACCCAAGACCTGGATGGAAACAAAAAATTAAAAATTAAATAAAAATTCTACCGCCTTTGAAAAGTGCTGTTCATGATCCATCAGCTAGTAGTTAGAGGTTGCTTTTGTTATTTAGTTGGTGTTCAAGTTTAACTTGATAAAGATAAAGATGAGAGACAACCTTAGTAAGGCGTAAAAAAAGATGTTGTATTGCCCTTTGCGACCGACCCGAAAATCTTGAAATGTACGGTCGGCTTTTTATTTTATTTTTTTATTTTTTTTTTACCGCTCTTTAGAAGAAAAAATGTATCAAAGCATTCAAAACTGAGAAATATCAGCCCAAAGAGGAAAAGAGGAAAACAAAAGTAACCCCCCCCCCCCAAAAAAAAGGTACCAAAATATATAGCCGGGGATACTCGTTTTCCCCAAGATTAAAAATTATCAAAGGCTCATTATTCCTGAGGTTTGAAAATCTAAACACGATGCAGGGTTCTATTTCATCTGTGGAATTACAAAACCCTTTTCAATTTTCGGAATTATAAATAATTTTTTCATTTTCGGAATTGTGAACCTTATATATTATTAGCCTTCAGGGTAACAATACCTTCGAGAAAAAAAACACAAAAAAAAAACAGAAAAAAGGATCTCCAAATGTTATCACTGAAGTGCCACCATCGAAGTACCAGATATGTTTTTGTTAGATAACTCTTATCATTTCAAATTCATTCAAAGACCAATATCAGTAGTGCTTCAAAACTGGTATGTAGCTATCCAACTATGTTTGCAACAGTGCTTTATGAAACTCTGTAACTGTATTTTAAGAACATGTAAAGAGCTCCCGGCCCCTCACGCACACAATTATGAAAACTTTCCACAAATCTAGAGATTCTACCTTTGACCCGGAAACCAGACTGCCTGGAATGACTGCATTTTCCAGTAGATCCCATAGTATAAGGTAATAAGGTAATAAGGTGTGTTTATAACCTTCGCCGGTCATTCCCAAAGAAACTTCCGGAATTTTTAGGCCTAGTATACAAGGAATTTTCCGATATACGTATACCTTTTGCACAGAGTTTCAATTTATATCAAGTTGCGATCGATTTTACTAAGTCTCGACTCTTATACCCGTATGTATATTATATATTAAAGACAGGACCTAGGTTTTCTCTGAAGAAAAAGATAACTAATCCCGCGTATGCAATTTTAATTGCACTATGCACATGCATATCATGCATTTACCTTTTCGAAGACTGGAAAGTATCTGTTCTTGCATTGTTTGACGGCACCTTGTAGCATCGTTTCTTGTTCCTCTCGTGTTTTCTGGAACTGAGCGCCGGAGAATCCTGATTTTAGCATATCCCTCGCCCCCATGCATAACATCTCAAGTCTGGAAAGGTTAAGAAATGATTATTAAAAATTAAAAACTTATAATAATAATAAAGTAATAATAATAATAATAATAATGACAATATTAATAATGATGATATGATAATTATGATAATAAGAAGAATAATGACAACTATGATAATACTAATTATTATTATCAATATGTGGATTAATAGTTTGCCAAAGTACGTACATTTAAAGTGCCTGGTATAATTTGAACCCTCGACACTTGGACTGCGAGTCAAATAAATGAACCACTATATATCACGGCACCTTAATGATTTATGAAAGTGAAATGATTTATTTATGCATTATATAGCCATAAATCAAGTCGATTTTCAAAGGGAAAGAGAAATCCATAAAAAAGCAGAGCTTTAATTTGTGTTGATAACTCTAAAAAGAAAGGGGAAAAAGAAAGAAAAAGAATATTAACAGAATCCACACATGCACTGCATTAAACAAGAAAGATGCTCATTGTTTATTAAGATCTTTTAAAAACTCAAGTAATGTGCTGAGGAGCTTTAAATCTTTGTTTGGAATGACTTGCTTTTAATATAGAAAATGCCAAGACTTGAGTTTTTACACAAACACTTGTGTATGTGTTTGTGTGTACATTCAACTCCCAGATAACTTGATAGAAAAACAAAACAAAATAAATTTGTTTAAAGAAAAAAGGAAGTGAGTGACCTGTAAAGAAGGAAGTAAAGGGAGGAGAAAGAGCCCTGGTTTCCAAACGATCATACCTGCTAAATAAGACAGTTTCACTATTAGTGGATAGAATTGTCTACAGTGGCGTATCTGAGGGAGGGGGGTTAGGCGCCCCAATCATGCCACTATACGAAGGGTAAATTTTATCAAAAATACAGATTTTGAGGGTTAAAGATGGGGAAATTTTCTAAAGATCGGTCGCTTTGCTCTCTCGCAAGTGTTGATTCTGGATCTCGTAATTTCGCGACGCAATATTAATTAGCTTATAAACAGCGTTTTTAAAGGGTTAGAAAAATGTCACATTTAGGAAAATTCAGCATTTAAAAAAATCTCTACTTTCTGTATACTTTGCTACATAATTTGAGTAGCGACGTGTCCAATATCCTCATATTTGGGTTCCTGACAGCATTGTAATTGTATTCGGGCAGCAATGTGCCCAAATCTACTTTTTCTAAGCTAATGAATTTTAATGATGAAATTGAAGAAATCAAAGTTTTAATTTGTTCCCTGGTCGATTCGCTCGCTCGCAAAGTTAAAAAAAAACAGGATTATTCTTGGCAAGGGGATTCCTGAAAATCGTCATATTCGGCAACGTGTAGTTTGATGACGAAGAAAATGTGTCTTTATTCACTCACTCGCATGCACAATGGTTATTATGGAGATAAGTTTTTTTTGTTTTGGGGGGGGGGGGTGGTACCTAGATACGCCACTGATTGCAATTCCCTATGTCCGGTCTCATGCGAAAGGAGACGAAGGAACGATATGATGTTGGGTCATGGTAAGAAATGATTGAATGCAGGGCCGGGGACAAGATTTTGTCCTTGTAATACTTAAAGAGAATGTTGAGTTCTGGGAAGAGGTGAAAAATAAGTCGTGAGCAATATCATTAAGTGTGGAAGAACATCAGATACAAAAATATTCCCTGAAAAGCATGGCTCTTCAAATATGGCATGCAAAATATACATCTTTTTGTGTACAGTGCTGATAACTTTACCAATACTGGGCCAAATTTCTTATCAGTTAGATGACTCCAGAACCTTGCAGTACACACCAATACTCATATGCTAGATGATCAACCTTTTCTGATCGATTCCACAACGTTTCTTTCACAATGCAATCGCATGACAAGGGGGTGTTTCACAAAAGTTGTCATCAGTGTCAAATGACAGTTTTTGTTAAGCTACTGAAACCCTTGCTTCTGATTGGTTATCAGCAGATTTGTCACTGATTTTTGTCATTTGTCATTGAAAAAAGGCTTTGTGAAACGGGTCCCTGAACTCAACTTTATCTTGAAATACAATTTGTTGTCATGCTCACTTGACTTGTTCCTCGTCAGATTTTGCTTGGAAGTTGTATTTGTTGCAGACATAGCGAAGAATGACCTCACTCCCTGTTAGATTCTGGCCATCCATCTCCAACAGAGGAACTTGCTTGAACAAAAGTTTATCATCTGCACGGGAAATAAAGAAAAATAACAAATCATAACGATGCACAATATGGGCTGCATTAAAAGGAAGAGAAAAGGGGAAGAGAATATGGAAGAGCAAGCGTGTGATGGGATTCATAGGAAGATGACGATAATGGATAAACGACGAAACGGAAAGGAAAAGGAAAATGGGAGGCCAGATTTATGTAAAACGTTAAGAAGGGAAAAACGGTCACAAAGAGGGGAAGTAAAATCGGTAATATTCCCCCGCGTAATTTGCTACTCTAATAAATCTCAAATTCAAACAAAATGAAGAAGACTAAGCTATATTTCCATTGCTTCGAAAAGGCCATCATTCCAATTATGTTTTGTTCGATTCTAATTAGAAGCACATGTATTAAAGCATTAAAAACTGAGAAATATCAGATAAAAGAGGGCGGGAAAAAGAAAAAAAACATTCAAATCTGAAAATATCGGCCCAAAGAGGGCGACAAAAAAAAGTTGTTAAAAAAATACAACAAGTTTTTATTTTAGGCCTTATGGTTCGGTAAAAGATTCAAGCAAACAGTGATTAAATCAAGTCTTACATGAAGGAGCTTTGGTTGCTTTTTTTTTCTCTTCAAAATGAAGAGAAACTATGCAGATCTATTTTGTATACTTCATCCACATATCCATCAATGTTTTGTTCGAATTTAACGTAATAAATGAACAACAACAAAAATGATGAAAATGTTCATTAGAATAGCTGTAACAATACAAACAAGGCTTATCGTAATTCTTCAACTAGAATGATGTTTCTTATATTTAAGTATCCATAAATTCACCTGTACTATATTATTAATGTGTACTAAATGTTAATGGTTTATAATTTATTGCTATATGCCCTCACGGTGACGAATTTATGGTAGGAATACTTCCCAAGTAGTGGGAATGGTGAATGAATCCGGTGATTGGGTTTATGATATCTGTAAACATCATAAAGACGGTATTTCGTATTATAAACGTAAAGCCTCGGTCACAAATGCCATTACGAACTGCTACGAACGCCGTACGAACGATTTTTAGACTATGAAAATTCGGGAAGACCATGGAAAAACAGGGAGATTCGTACGAACGCATCGTTCGTACGAACCTTTATGACCGTAGCTTTATCTACATCCATTGATTTATTATTGTTTTGACTAGCTACATAAAAGCTTTGCTTCTTAATATGATCCTTATATTTCACATCATTGTTTTGTCTATGTTACATGTTTATCATTGTTTTATTATGCATTCTTTTGTTCAATTTTTTTTTGTTTTTTGGAGACAATCTTGTAATGTGGAATGCGGAACAAAAATACAAAACAATGAAAGACAAAACAAAATAAAGAGACAAAACAAATAACAGATCGATTACTCGTGATCAAATGAAATAAAAGTGTCAGGTGTCTTACCTGTGATCAACTGTAAGAATTCTTCTCTGGATTGGAGGTAAATTTCATCATACTGTAAACAAACAAACAAACAAACACAAATGGATTAGACGCTTATTTCTTCAACAATAGGGCAATTTAAGCTTGATTAACTTTTACTTGTTGCTTCAGGTTCTCTTTATATTTGCGTATAAAAAAGTCTATCCAACTTTGGTAGCTTCTAATTGAAAAGTTATAACCTACACGTGCTCTTGAATCATATTTTATTGTAAAAAAGAACTAATACCCTGTCCAATGGTACCATTTTCATAAGTGTGCTTGCTGCCAAGGATGACTGAACAGCAGGCTTTTCAAAAAGCATTGTCAAAATCCTCTTGTACCAAGTTTGTGCTGAAGCAAAGAATGTGGGTCAAAAGCCATTATGTGTGTGTTATCACATTCCAAAACTATTGCTCCGTGTACATTGACTATTATTAGGCAGTTCATAAAAAGGTGTTAATATCAACTCAAACTCAAGGAAATGCTTATGCTTTTTGTGATACGCACTGTACATGAGGCTTTCTAGTTCATTTGACTGTCCTTCTGTAGCCAACAGCAAACCTAGAAATTATCTTTCCGTTGACGTTTTTTAGTGGATGTGAGATCCCATTTTGTCTCCGTAAAATTTCAGCTTTGTTGCCGAAAAACCCCACAACAGTGGGCAATTTCTATGATTTGCATACATCTGAAATAGGATCCCAAATCCACACACGCAAAAATCTTCAACGGAAAGAACTTATGTCATAAAGTCGAATACTTGTAGAATATAAACACCAAATCAAAAATCATCAATCAGATAAGTACGAGATTAAGCATTTAGAAGTTTTATGCGTTTACATGTAACGTGTTTTTTTGCACGATTATATTGTTCGAGTACCGCCGCCGCCGCTGGCACACCAATGCAATGTCCTTTGCCAAGACATTTGCCTCCCTCAGCCTAGGGGTATAGTAAATGTGCATAGTAAGTAATTCTTTGAATGTTTCAGCGCTGTAGAGTAGCTTGGATAAAGCTAGGGTATTAGTAGTTCTTTGTTGAGTCCTCTTTCGATCATTCCCTGGATTGGATATGAGCGCAATATACATGTATCTATTATTATTACAATTATTATTCATACTTTTGTTCCTTCTTATTATTAAAGGTAATACAAAGTTTTGGTATGGGGTCATGAATTTGGTTCAAATGAACATATTGGAAGCATATGCGATTTTACAACTTATTCAATGATCGTTGTCGCGGTTGAAGTCGAGTTTAAAGTGATGAAAGGGTAAATAATAAAACTCTTTATGTTAGACAATTTGACAATGTTTCTTGACTACATCGACCAATTTGCTTTTTTCGTTTGGAAATTATATATCAGGATTGTATATTCTAGATTTTCATGGTCGCAGTTACAATAGAATGGCTTTGGGCGCTATCTAAAATATTTGAAATTTACCGGGAGCGCCGGTAAATTTTTGATTATTCCACTTCTCGAAAGCAGAATTATTTTAGGGGATACATTTTTTAGTGCTTATAATACATTCAAATGTGCATCCAAATTTATCAAAAATTAAAAGAATTACTATCCATCCAATTTTCAAAATTTCCCAAAACTTTGTATTACCTTTAAGATGCTAATTATGATGATCATGATGAAAACGGTGAAGGAGTTTATAATGATGATGATGATTAATATTATTATTATTATTCTTATCATCATTACCATGATCATGATCTTCATATCATCATCATCGTTATCCTCATATTACGACACGGTTACAGTCCTATACAATCACGTTTCAGTCTCTTCCTGATCTTTCAGATGTATATCTTATTTTCCTTTTCTTTCTAATTCTCTGAGCTCGTTCTCGATATATAGTTCTAGAGAGTGCAAACTGCATACAATATACACACATGCATTATATATATATATATATATTTTTTTTTTGGGGGGGGGGGGAGTTAATGAATTAGGCTATCTACCCCACATGCAAGGTTAGATAGAACTTACTTCCACTTTAGCAGCATTCAAAGCCAAGCGGGTAACTTCTCCCAGTCCTCTGCCGGCGAAATAGGTAAAACGTGGCTTCACGGTAGACATGTTTTCCGGATTCCAACTTTCTGTACACTCTAGTCAGTCTCTCTGAGATAACTGTAAGGGATTAATGGAGGTAGCTCGCTCTCTGATATGTCGATCGTCATCGTGATATTGACACCGATGAAACGTAAATAATGGGATATTGACTTTGACCTTACACTTGTATTCAGGCAGCTAGGCAGGCGCGGGATAAGGATTTTGTAAAGAGGGACCCGGGGATTTGGTGATGACAAGCACTTATGAATATAGTTCTCTAACAATGAAAAAAAAAGTCATGGCAATACTTTATTTGTCACGATTCCCCGCCCCTGGCAAGCAAAAGTTGTATATTACACGTATGTCACTTCGGTTTCACACGAGAGGGAGGGGGGGGGGGGGGGGCATGGGTCGGTTGTGCCCCACCCCTGCCAAAATCCGCCATTGATTCAGGTGCGAATAATAGACGATTCTCACCCAGCTATAAGCTTCTTATGTTCATTGTATTCAACCTTTGCACAAATAATTTGATAATAATGAACGAAAGGAGTTCCATGTGTTTTATGTCACTTCTATTCTTAGTATGGTAAAAAGAATGAAAATGGACATAATAATATATCTACGTGTATGTATTTTAGACAATATATATAAATAAAATTGAAATATATTATTCGCTATTCGCTTAGTAGTATTTTAGGTCAGAAATATTTTTGTATTTTAGCTTCTTGGGATTTTTTCTTTATCACTGTCGGAAAACTATAACCCTTACCGGAAAATATTACTACCGTGTCACATAATATACATTTATTGTAGCGACCTCTTGATGAATACTACACCCACACAGAAGACAAAAACGCTATCCATTTCTTCTTCATTATTTTGGCCTATTTATTTCAAGGTCCACCAATAATTCACAATGAATTAGAGGTTTTCCCATACATTTAAACACTTTTAACAAATCAAATCGATTTCATAATTCTACATTCGATTTCGTCAAATCCTAGAAGCATCTGAAGCTAATGTGTATGTGTTATACCTTTGGCTTCTGCATCCCTGCAATTACAGTGCTGTAGTCTAGCATTTCAAGGAATGAAGTCCTGTCCGCTGCCATTGACTTCACCTGGGTCGAGTGTGGCAAATGTAGGTTAATGTCTTGCCAAAGGACATCGGAGCAGTGGCAGGGTTTTGAACCCCGTACCTTGTGATCTGCAATCTGGTGACTTATCCATTAGACCACAACACAATGATATCAACCTTTTTTTTTTGTAAACAGTTTCTTTTATTTCTTTCCGAAGATAAATATACGTCGTGAGAGGATATTATCTTTTAAATATTTCAGGTAATTACCAAAACAATTACTTTTCACTGTATTGCCTAACATGCTGCAAATATAGACTGTAAAGTAATGAAGTTAAGTACAGAGCATTTACCAATTTTGACAGAAATGGCTTACAATTGCTTGGTGAACTAGATTCGTGAAAATGCATCACAAATTAAGAGATATATATGATTCAAGTTTCAACACATTTTGCTAGCTTGATTTTAAATTGGGAATTTTTTTATAGACAGAATCATACTATTGAATTTAGGCAAGACTTTGATTACAAACAGAAGACTGCAATGTCTGAACACCAAATTCACAGAAAATGTTAATTCTTTGAAGAAACTTGATGCTAATCGATTAGAAATCATAACATTATTTGATTTTTAAAATGGAACGTGATTGTATTTTTCTATGATCGAATTTATGTTTTAAACATTATTTTGAAAAATCTTGTACGATATCCAAGGAAGTGATGAAAATCCCTAAACAGTTCACCTTTCAAAGCATTTGATTACAAAATACCTATAAAACATGCAAAATATATGTAATTGAACTTAGTTTAATTGCACACATGGTATCTGGGCTTACTTTTCTATCCAGAGGAAAATGTGTTCCTTCAGCAAAATCATGTACATGTACAACATGGAAGTATAGAGAAGTATGCGAAGGCCTGAATGCTTAAAAAACCTTCTTTAATCACAAATAAAACAAACAATCAAAAATAAAGGAAACCTTCAACCAACATGAGTTTGGTGCCAAATGGAGAACAAAAATTAACTACCAAGTAGTTGTCGACCACCATGACGATCACCAGTCCAGCACTATTTTTACCACCCGTACTAACTCGTTATCGGGAGGTGGATGACGTCGGGGGCTAGAAAGGTACTCCTTAAGCCCCGGTTGGTTGGAAAAGTGTTCGATATATGCCTGTGTGATCAAACAAACAAACCGACAGGGTCCTCTTTCATGAAGCTTGTTATTAATAACAATTTACAATAACTGATATAAGCTACTGAAACCTGGGCATTTATAATAATAATATGTCTTGTTTACTCGGGGTAGCCTCATCAGTTTTCTCTGATAAGGCCCTGCAATCTTTTTTTGATTTGCTATATCAAACCAGATTTCCAGTGATCTTTGGCAGTTATTAAAAGCATGTTTTATGAATTAGGGCCCAGAATCTGTAATACTGATTAAAATCTCCATTTTTTATCAGGGGCATTTCAACAGGTAAACGAGCAAGGTTAGGAGGGAGAGGGGATAGCCTTTAATAGTTCATTCCCAATTTACCATCAGGAATGTTGAATGAGAGGGTGTTACGCAAGCTTCTAATGACCCCTAATTCCCGACCAAATGGCATTCCTCGCTGCCCAAATATGAGGTGATGATTGAACGAATATTATATTTTATCATTATTTTAAATAATCGGGAGGGGTCCTTCAAAACCCCCTCGCCCACTTCGAGTTCGTACGCCTGCCCAATCACATACCTTGAGGTTCGGGAAGTCATCTAGCAACGGTTTGATTTTAGGGATCTCGTTCACGTAGCTGAGACCATCAAAGAACATAAAGTCAGCCATGGTAAGGGAATCTCCTACTAGGAATCCAGACTTACTCTCACCCAAGACCTGGATGAAGAAAACAAAAAGGGGAAAAGTGCTGTTCATGATCATCAAAGTTTGCTTTTGTTATTTTGTTGGTGTACAAGTTCAACTTGATGAAGATAAAAATCTGATGAGTAAACCTTAACAAGTGTACCACAGAGGTACCGAAATAAAACGCAGGGAATATTTGTCTTTCCTAAGATTCATAATTATTCGGGGCTCATTATTCCTGAGGTTCGTAATTCCGAACACGAGGCGGGGTTCTATTTCATCTTGGGAATATTACAAAACCCTTTTTAATTTCCAGAATTGTCAACCTTAGGTATTATTAGCCTTCAGGGAACAATACCCTCAAAAAACGAGGAAAAAAAGAACAGAAGAAGACCGATCTCCAAATCTTATCGCTGAAGTGCAACCATCGAAGCACCAGATATTTCTTTTTGTCGGATAACTCGTATCATTTAAATTTATACAAAGATCACCACTAGAATATCAGTAGTGCTTCAAAACTACGGTATGTAGCTATCCAACTACACAACGGAAAGAACTGTGTTTGCAACAGTGCTGTATGAAACTCTGAAACTGTGTTTTTAAAACATGTAAAGAGCACCCCACATAAAATACTTCACGACCGTAACTTTCCACAAATCTAGATATTTTTTACCATTGACCTGGAAACCAGACTGCAGGAGTTACTGCATTTCCAGTAGATCCCGTAAGGTAAAGGTAATAATGTGTTATAACCTTCGCCAGTCATTCCCAAAGAAAGCTTCGGAATTGTTTGGCCTATTATGCAAGGAATCCCCCGATGTACGTATACCTTAATATTAATTTATAATAGAGCCAGGGCCCCATATGATCTATTCGTATTTTTCGTTTGTAGTATGAAGTTGCTATCGTTTTAAATCAGTCTCAACTTTTTATGAGACAGGACCTAGACCTTCTTTGTAAAATGATTACTAATCTCGTGTATGTAATTTGTTTAAATTTATTTGTTACACATCTTTAAAAAGAAGGGTAACCTAATTAGCAAATAAATACTGGTTTTCGTTGGGGCCCTTCATGACACAAACAAGTATATACATTTCAACAAATCAAAGTATAAATAAGATATAGAAAATTACAAAATATGACTTTAACAAAACAAACAAGAATTGCAAACCAGGTTATAAATAAACGGATTTGAACATAGAGAATAACAAAATGAGTAATATGATACAAATATGTAAATGCCATATATCCAAATTGAAGCAAACAGTAACAAATAAAAAATGATCAACAAAAGCAACAACAAACAAACAAGAGAAAACAAGATGAAGATATAATAAAATATATACAAAGAGGAGAGAAAGAAGAGTTATATTATACCATAATCATATTACAACGTGGATGTCTTTTGCCATTTATCGTTTAAATGGTTTCATATTTCTATAAATCAAATGCGTTCGGGTAATTTATTCCAGTTTAATGGATCTGTGACTAGAAATGACTTCTGGTAAAAATTCGTATGAGCATGTGGCATCCTAATTAACATCGTATCTGTGCTCCTAGTTGTTCGAGATGATACTGCTTTTGATTTCACTATGCACATGATCCATATACCTTTTCGAAGACTGGAAAGTATCTATTCTTGGATTGTTTGACGGCACCTTGTAGCATTGCTTCTTGTTCCTCTCGTGTTTTCTGGAACACGGCGCCGGAGAATCCTGATTTTAGCATATCCCTCGCCCCCATGCATAACATCTCAAGTCTGGAAAGGTTAAAAAATGATTATTAAAAATGAAAAACTTATAATAATAATAACATAATAATAATAATGATAATGATTAGAAAATAATGATAAGGATGATAATAATAACAATGATTATAATGATCATGATATCAATGGTAAAGATTATAATGATAATTATAATAATAATGATAATATATTCATAGTAATGATAACAATAATGATAATAACATTAAAGACAATTATACTATTAATTATTTTTATCAATCTGTGGGTTAATAATTTGCCAAAGTACATGTGCCGGGTATAATTCGAACCCTCAACACTTGGAATGCGAGTCAAATAAATGAACCACTATATCACGACACCTCAATGATTTATGAAAGTGAAAAGATTTAATTGATGCATAATGTTGTCATAAATCAAGTCGATTTTAAAAGGGAATGAGAAATCCACTAAAAAGCAGAGCTTTCATTTGTGTTGATAACTCTTAAAAGAAAGAAAGAAAGACAAAAAGGAATATTAACAAAATCCATAGTATACATCCACTGCATGAAACAAGAAAATAGTAATTGTTTATTCAAATCTTTCAATACTTAAAGTAGATATTCATTGATTTTAAAAACTAACTTTATTTTCATTATTGCAAAGTTGAAACTTTGATTCGACAAGGTTATCAAAATTCAATGCTTGGAAACAGGGGAGTCGATTTGTATCCGTGGTTGGTGGGATGATAGGTGCCAAAATATTTTCGGCAATGGATCAAAGCAACCAAGAGGTAGAAGCGTGACCCTCTTCCTTCTTTAATGAAACCAACTGAATTCTCTCTGCGGGAAACTCAATTTAATGAACCAGAATATCACTGATGCAAAATTTGGTTCTCAAAATGACAGAAAACTTCCACTCCTGGGGGGCGTTTCACAAAACTTGTTATCAGTGACAAATGACAGTATTTGTTATAAGCTAGTGAAATCCTTGCTTTTGATTGGTTATCAGCAGATTTGATTTTTTTTTGTCATTTGTCATTGAAAGAAGGCTATGTGAAACGGGTCCCTGATCTCATACAAACTGTCCGTTTCTTAAAAACATAATATAAAACTTACGTTCAAACTACCAAACAACAAACTTCCATAATCTCATTCTTCACACTGATATGCTTATCATACCAGATACGCTCTGAAATATAAGCATAATATTCCCCTAAGGCCCTGACCAGAGCACTATTTTTTTCTTCAAAAACTAAACCAGTCTTAATTATTCTGATTATAAACAAAACTTCAAACATTCTAACCTTCAAAAACATCTGAACTATCTTATGTCTGTTACGTTTGAATACAATACATAGGCCTACATCAGCTTTTCAATAAAACACAAATAAGTAGGAGCCCTGGTTTCAAAACAATCATATCTGCTAATTAGGACAGTTTCAATATTAGTTTACTGTGTCGAGGTTACAACAAGAACTGGATAGAATTGTCTACATAGTGGCGTATCTTAGGGATGAGGGACAGGAGGTCATCTGCCCCCCGGGCGGCCCTTGAAGGGGGCCCTACAAAACGCAGAAGAGAGGGGGAGAAAAAAATTGACGCAAAAGAGAGAAAGAGAAAGGGCAGAAAAGTTAGAAAGATTATGCGCCCCAATCGTGCCAATACAGGGGTAAGTTTAATTATAAATCCAGATTTTGAGGGTTAAAGATGTGAACATTTTCTAAAGATCGGTCGCTTGGCTCTCTCGCTAATGTTGATTCTGGATCTCGTAATTTCGCGTCGCAATATGAATTTTAGCTCATGAATAGCGTTTTTAAAGGGTTAGACAAATGTAACATTTAAGAAAGTTCAGCATTTGAAAGAGATCTCAGCTTTCTGTATACTTTGCTACATTCTTTTGCTATATTTCTCCAGAGAGTTCGTTAGTGTTGCGCTACAGTAATTTAAAGTAGAATGGAATAGAAAGCCGATTATGGTCATAATTCGCAACTCCAATGTTATGTTGCAGTCATAGGGGTACGAGCTGTGGAAGGGGAGTGGCTATAGGGCTCACGGAGGATTTTAGAGGTCCTTGAACCTTAAAGAATTACTCTCCCAAAAGCGTGAACGCTGTCCTGGAGAGGGTTGTGCTGTGTTGCGTGCTGTTGGTGATGTGCTTTTGGTAAAGTGATCGTGGTTGTTCTCCGTGCACAGTGTGCAGGGTGCAGTGTGCAGGTGGTGCAGGTGTGTCCCTCGTTACAACATCTTCAGGGGTAGGGATGGCGCCATAGTCTGTATGGCGGGTAGTGCCGCTCCCCTAAAGCCAAGAATTGTACTTGCAGTGACAGCGTTGCTTGGAAGAGAGTGTTCCAAACACGGACTGCTCTGGGAAACATGCTGTACATGTAGCAGTTAACTTGCAAAATGGTTGGGTGAATCTGAAGTTGTGGCTTCGATGTTGTGCTCGTTGCGGTCTGGTGATGCCTGTGATAAGTCGGATGTCAGGAGGCAAGGAGATCTGGACAAGTTTGTGGTGTACTTTGAAGAGCATCTCGCATTGATTGAGCAAGCGACGTTGTTGTAGCGTGTCCCAGCCAAGAGATGACAGCATGGTGGTGACACTAGATTCTCTTCTATAGTCATGGAGGACGAATATGGCCGCTTGTCTCTGTATGCTCTCTATGAGTCCAATATTCGAACAACCATATCACTTCATATTTGAGTAGCGGCGTGTCAAAGTATCCTCATAATATTTAGGTGCCTGAATATCATTGTATTCGGGCAGCAATGTGCCCAAATATACTTTATCTAAGCTAATGAAATTTGAGGATGGAAATAAAGAAATCAAAGTTTTCATTTTCGATCGCTCACAAAATCTAAAAACAAAATTATACTTGGTAACGGGATTCCTGAAAATCGTCATATTCGGCAGCGTGTAGTTTGATGACGAAGAAAATATTATATGTCTTTATCACAGTAAAGGTGTCTTTATTCGGCCGGTCGCTTGCACAATTATGGTTATGAAGATAAGTTTGGGATGGGGTGATACCTAGATCCGCCACTGATTGCAATTCATATGTCCGGTCTCATGCGAAAGGATGTAAAGAAACGATGCCGGGTCATGGTTTGAAATGATTGAATGCAGGGCCGGAGACAAGATTTTGTCCTTGTAATACTTAAAGATAAGATAGAGTTCTGGGGAGAGGTGAAAAATATTTCGTGAGCGATATCATTGTTATTATGCAAGTGTGGAAGAACATCAGATATAAAAAATGTTCACAGAAAAGCATGGCTCTTCAAATGCCTTAATTTTCGAAATATGGCATGTAACATCTTTCTGTGTACAGTGCTGATAACTTTACAAATACTGGGCCAAATTTTCTTATCAGTTAGATGACTCCAGAACCTTGCAGTACACACCAATACTTACAAGCTACATGATCAACCTTTTCTGATCGATTCCACACCGTTTCTTTCACAATGCAATCGCATGACCAGAACTCAACTTTATCTTTAAATACAATTTTGTTGTCATGCTCACTTGACTTGGTCCTCATCAGATTTTGCTTGGAAGTTGTATTTGTTGCAGACATAGCGAAGAACGGGCTCACTCCCTGTTAGATTCTGGCCATCTACCTCCAGCAGAGGAACTTGCTTGAACAAAAGTTTATCATCTGCAAAGAAAGTGAAGGGAACAAAAATTATAACGATGCAGCATTGAACCAAAAGGTGATTATTTGCTTTAAATTATTGATTGTATGAGACAATCTTGTAAATAATTGTAGAGTGCGGAAAATACAACAAAACAAAAAGACAAAAACAAATAACAGATAGAATTCACACGTGATCAAACGAAATAAAAATGTCAGGCTTCTTACCTGTGATCAACTGTAAGAATTCTTCTCTGGATTGGAGGTAAATGTCATCATACTGTTAACAAACAGACACAATGGATTAGACGCTTATTTCTTCATCAATAAGCCTATACAGTGTGAGTCAAAAAAAGTTTACACCTAGAAAATTGCTAATTATTTTAAGAATCATCTATATTCAGTAAATTATTATACATCTTATGAGTGTGTTTTATCCCAAATCATTTGGTATCATGTTTGTGGGGTATGTGTTCACGCTTGGATGAACAGGAAGCATTTTTTGCGAGGGTGCAAAATTCGACTTGTGCCAAAGTTGTTTATGTGATGTTTAAATCAAACAATTGGGATTTGGGTATTAAATCTGTTTTTGTAGATCCAAATAACATCCCTAACAAAATTAATCATGCCACACATATCAAATATGGAATATCAAATATCAATGAACATTTGTGCGCGCGTGTGTGTGCGTGTGCGTGTGTGACTTTGCTTGTGCAAAAAGCATATGCAATGCAATTCATTTGATACATTTAATTCATTCTCTCACTTCGTTAATCCGAACAACACGCTGTAAGCATCACTTTGGCGATGTTTGCACCCTCGCAAACAATGCCTCCTGGTCATCCAAGCGTGAACAAATACCACACGAAAATGATACCAAATGAATTGGGATAAAACACTCTTTCATAAGATGTATAACAATTTACTGTTCATAGATGATTTTTTTAATAATTAACAATTTTCTAGGTGTAAACTTTTTTTTGACTCACACGGTATAAGCTTGATTAACGTTTACGTGTTTCTTCAAGCTCTCTCTCTCTATATACAGTGCGTATACAAAATTGTACCCAACTTTGGTAGCTTCTAATTAATAAGTTATAAACCTGTGTGCCCTTGAATCATATTTTATTGTTAAGAAGAACTAATACCCTGTCCAATGATATCTTTTTCGTAATTGTGCTTGATGCTGCCAAGGGTGACTGAACAGCAGGCTTTTCAAAAAGTATTGTCAAAATCCTCTTGTACCAAACTAAGTTTGGGCTGAAGCAATGAATGTGGATCTAAAGCCATCATGTGTGTGTTATCACATTCCAAAACTATTGCTCCGTTTACATTGACTAATTTGCAGTTCATAAAAATATCAACTCAAACTCAAGGAATGCTTATTACAAGCAAAAGTTATATTTTTGTCGTTATGATGATTACAATCTTGACTCCATTCGCATCCCTTGTTAAAGGTAACCTTTTCATTGAGTGATACAAACGGATAAAGTTTGTTTGGGATGTTATCTTTTTCATGAAAGTCTGCTGTCAATTTCTTTGATATTTATCATCCTATGTTTTCTTTCTTGCATTTGGGTTTAGTAACCTTTGAGTTTTCATTCGCCATTCGAGATAAACACCTTAACATTAGGTATCATTAGACAGAAAATAAGCTACACTTCATTATAAATAAATTCCAAAGTCATATTGGTTATGACTTTTCAATTAGAAGCCACCAAAGTTTGGTACACTTTTTGTGATACGCACTGTATATGAGGCTTTTTAGTCCATTTGGGTTTAGTAACCTTTGAGTTTTCATTCGCTATTCGAGATAAACACCTTATCATTAGATATCATTATACAGAAAATAAGTTACTCTTCATCATAAATCAATTCCAAAGTCATATTGATTATGACTTTTCAATAAATTAGAAAAGCAAACCTAGAAAAAAAAAATTCCGTTGACGTTTTTAGTGGATGTGTGATCCCATGTGGTCTCCGAACAATTTCAGCTTTGTTGCCTAAAAAACCCCACAACAAATACTGTGGGCAATTTTTATGATTGCCATACATCTGCCGGGGTCACAAATCCACACACGCAAAACACTTCAACGGAAAGAACTTTTCTCATGTCATAAAGTCGAATACTTGTAGAGTATTGTATTCTAGACACCAAATGTTAACAAAAGCGTTTACATGTAACATATTATTTTCTTGCACGATTTTCGAGTCCCACCTCCCCCACCCCCCCCCCCCCCCCCCCCCCCCACTCCGTGAACGGAGGGATACCATGCGTGTTACCAAAATGTCCGGTAATAAAGGGGTACTTTTCACGCATCAAAGTCCGGCTCGTACATACACAAAAAAGACTTTACACACCGGACTTAGGGGGTGTTTTCAAAAGGAGGGAACAAGCATATGCGTACCCTAAATAACACCGAGTGGAGGGGCCGGGGTCCCGCCGCGGGCACACCAATGCAATGTCCTTTGATAAAACATTAATCGACATTTGCCTCCCTCAGCCTAGGGGTACTAAATGTGCATAGTAAGTAATTCTTTGAATGTTTCAGCGCTGTAGAGTAGCTAATTGGCTAAAGCTAGGATATTAGTAGTACTTTGTTGGGTCCTCTTTCCAGCCTCGCTTCCCTGGATTGGATATGAGCGCAATACCTGTATCTATAATCATTATTATTAATATTCATACTTTTTTCTTCTTCTTCTTATTATGATGCGAATTATGATGACCATGATGAAAACGGTGAAGGAGTTTATGATGACCTTGATGATTAATATTCTTCTTCTTATTATTATTGTTAATATTATAATCATCATCAACATCATATCGTCGTCATCATTATAATCCCCATATTAACAGCACGATTATAGCCTATAGGCCTACAATCACGTTTCACTAATATGTTTTTTTTTATCTTTCAGATGTGTATCTTATTTTCCTTTTCTTTCTAATTCTCTGAGCATACAATATACACACATGCATTATATTTTTTTTCGGGGGGGGGGGGGGGGGGAGTGAATGAATTAGGCTACCTACCCCACATGCAAGGTTAGATAGAACTTACTTCCACTTTAGCAGCATTCAAAGCCAAGCGGGTAACTTCTCCCAGTCCTCTGCCGGCGAAATAGGTAAAACGTGGCTTCACGGTAGACATGTTTTCCGGATTCCAACTTTAAGTACACTCTAGTCAGTCTCTCACTGTGACTATGACTATTTAATGGTAGTAGTTCACTCTCTGATATGCCGATCGTCATCGTGATATTGACACCGATGGAATGTAAATAATGGGATATTGACTTGGACTTTACACTGTCTTGTATTCGGGCAGATAGGCATGCGCGGGATCAGGGTTTTGTAAAGAGGGGCCCCGGGGGCAGTGGCGCAGGATTTTTTTCAAGGGGGGGGGGGGTTAACATTTTGAAATCGGGCCTGGGCTTGGGGGGGGGGGGTTTAGGGGGTTTTTCCTAAAAAATACACATATAAAAATACCAAAGGGGAGGTTCACCCCCCCCCCCCCCCCCCCCCCCCCCCCCTGCGTACGCGCCTGTCCGGGGGCATCTGGTGATGATAAGCAGCCCCCCCCCCCCCAAACATTAAACTCTGGCTACGGGTCTGATGATAATCCCTAATGAATATCTAAGTTCTCTAACAATGAAAAAAAGGCATGGCAATACCTCATTATTCACGATTCCCTGCCCCTGGCAAGCAAAAATCCGCCATTGATTCAGGTAAGAAGAATAGATGATTCTCACCCAGCTAAGCTAAATTATGTGCATTGTATATTCAACCTTTGCACAAATAATTTGTTAATGATGAACGAAAGGAGTTCCATGTGTTTTATGTCACTTCTATTCTTAGTATGGTAAAAGTAATAAAAATGGACATCATAATATATCTACGTGTATGTGTCTTAGACAATATCTGAAGCAAATTGATATACATTATTCGCTTAGTAGTATTTTAGGCCAGAAATATTTTTGTATTTTAGCTTCTTAGGAATTTTTTCTTTATCACTGTCGGAAAACTATAACCCTAACCGGCAAATATTACTACCGTGTCACATATATACATTTATTGTAGCGACCTCCTGATGAATACTACACCCACACAGAAGACAAAAATGCTATCCATTTCTTCTTCATTATTTTGGCCTATTTATTTCAAGGTCCACCAATAATTCACAATGAATTATAGGTTTTCCCATACATTTTAACGCTTCGAACTTTCATCAAATCGATTTCATAATTCTACAATCGATTTCGTCAAAGTCACATTAAGTTCGTCACCCTCGGCTGCCAATGTACAATTGCATGAATTAATTTCATTATTTTGCAATCGATTTCATCAAAGCGTTATTCAAATGCGTTACTCTTTTTTTTATAAGGACACTTGTTACGCTTTGTCTTTTCACAAAAAAATTGTTTTTATAATGAAATAGATAATCAAGATAAATTAATAAGATTTGAAAGTCTTAGAGTAGCCGGAGAGGGGTATTTTGAAAAAGATGGGCGCAAAGAGAGGTCGAATTTGAGACGGCTTAACATCCAGTTTTTCTTGTAACATTTTAATGTAATTTTGTGACAAATTTAGTGGTTTTGTTACAAAATACATAATAGAATTGCTATGCCGCCCCATTGGAGGTGATGAATGGTGATGAACTGTGAAATAAGTGTGAAGTTTAAAGTTTGAGGAGTGAAGATTATGTGGAAAAGTATTTAGCAGGTGCGGTGATTTCTTTTCATGGTCGGGGGGGAGGGGGACAAAATGCAAGATTTTCTACAATATCTACTAGTACATTTTGAAGTATAATGCGAGGAAGCGTAGAGATCGAGGGAGAAGATTTTATTAGTTTAAACGCTGCACTCTTGGGCCCTCCAGAGCATAAAAGTGTGTTTCATTCTTTAGTCAGTATTTGCTACAGATTTTTGTTCTCCAAATTTTCCGGGGGACGCCCCCTAAACAAATTGAGGGGGGACGTGTCCCCCTCCCCGTGGGATCGCCGCCCCTGGTATTTAGTCACATACGTTACCAACATCATCTAACTCTACTGCGTTGATAGCACTATAGGAACTTCATTCAGACAAAATAACAAAGAAAATATCACTAGCGATGTTAATTTTTGTTTGGTTTATGTTAATTCTTGGTAACGTTTTGGTTACTAGCGAATGACTGAAATGAATGAGAACGCCATTGCCAGTCAGGGTGGCGTAATGAATATGCATTCCTCATTTTATTCAGCCGAGGATGAGCTTTGTGAATTCCTAAATTTAGTCGGTGTAGGCTGGGCTTTTATACTCAAAATATTTCAGCTGTAAAAATGCAAATTATGCTTGGATTGGCCGAACTCAGCATGTAGGAACTAAATGGTATTGGGGGAAGACGTACACGGACACCGCTAGCTACTAGATAGGTCGGATCTACCTGTGGCAAGGCACTTACAGTAGTTTTCATTTTAACCTATTTTGTGAAACAGCAGTAAAGCTAGTTCTACAATAGAGTTGTTGCTTCAGTATCCTGTATTCTTTACTGCATTGGTGACAGTTATTGTGTGTCAGCCAGACCACTGTTGCCCTAAGTCAAGTAATTTGAGCGAGCATCACTGGTAAGTTGACTTTGTAGTTATCAGAAAAGGGATTTTTTTGTGTGCATAAAACGTGCCATTGCACCTAGCTGTCTCGATATCAATGAATATGTACAAATAAGTTGTAGTTGTAGGTCGATAATTATTGTTAAACCAGTGAAAATAAGGTTTTGTTGGAACGTAAGGATACATTCATTGACAATAGGTTATCACCCCTCTTCACATTCATCTCTTGTCCACTTTAGGCATGGTTGTATATTTTCACTTTGTTTTGTCTTTTACTCTTTTAACTGTGTTTTCTTTATCTTATCTTTTCTTTTTTCCCCTCCTTCCATTTCTTCTTCTTCTTCTTCATCATCGTCTTCTTCTTTTCCGTATCCTCCTATATGAATTTTCCACTGTCGCTTTCTACTACTTCCTATACCTTTCCCCTTTCAACCTTTCCCCCTCTCAACCTTTATTCTTCCTCTTTAAATCCCTCCCACTCTTAATTTCAATAAGTTACAGTGTATTTGCAAACTTTACTCCTCACTTTTCAGTTTTTCACTCTCGATTTTATCCACCACATACACTTGCTCCGTTTATCGTTTAATGCTTATTTCTTTCCTTCTTCTTTTCACATGATTTCAGTAAAACTATGTTACTTTATGCTATTTAATTCAGATTTCTTTCTAATTTATGTTTCCATATGTTTCCATAAGCTATATTTTTTGTATTTATACTGATTTATTTTTCAAATTCAATATATCATGTTATGCTATGTCATATATTACATTATGTGTTATTAATTTTGTTTGTAAACTTTTGTAACTTTGGCTAAACCCCGCGATGAAAGTTTTATTTGAAATAAACCATTTTTAATTGAATTGAATTGAATCCGAGTTAATTATAAATACATCATAATGTACTTCTTAGGGTTTTACTTGCTATGGTTCAACTAAGGCATGTATTTTTTTTAAAAAAGTGTAAATATTTTATAGCTTAATTTGTACAATGTATTGTAGCAATGCTTTGTAAATTAAGTGAAAATAAAGCAGCATAATAGTGGCAAATGTTGGACTCATTTGATTTTAGATTTCACTCAATCTGGGGCAGGACTCAAATCTCTTCGTGGTACACGGAACCCCGTCAGACGAGATCGACAGCGCGCTCCTTGTCGTATGGGATGGTCGTGGACGAGGCATGAGATAGGACTTCAATTGGTGATGTATATAATTTGAGCAAGTTCGGGAACTGTTGTAACTGTTGATGTGAGCAATTTTAATTACAACAACTTTGAAAAACACAAAACAAAACAATCTTTGTTTATCATCCCTTAGAATAGATCTAGTTTTTGTTTGTGTTCTAATGCTACATTTTTCTGGATCGATATAGCCCTTTTCGTCTTTAAGCGCTTAACAAATACACGACTATTATCCTGATCATCGGATTCATTCACGCACACAGTGTGCACCGTTTCCACTCACTTGAGATGGCATATTGCAATTTTCAACCAAAAAAAAGGTCACCTATAAAGGGAAATCTCAAAGCAAAAATATACAATTTTGTAGACGTTGGTATATACCCCCTATATTGTGATTACATTATTAGGGGTGATTTCGACATTTGTTTCTCTTTATCATACAAGATATTCAAGTTCAAGTTCAATTTCAAGTTTTATTTCTTGGTAATATTGTTCAGATGAGAGGAAAATGGTGCTAAGGTTAATGCTAGATGTACAATTAAAGGTGAAATTCAAAGAAAATCACAAATATGTCAACTAATTTATCACTAGAAACTGCATGGTAAGCTAACAGATGGCCATCGTACAAGTTTAAGGTCAACTACATATCAGGTGATTTATAAAATTACAAATACAACCACCTCCATGGCAGCTGGGATATACGAGAGATTCACCAGAAAAATAACGATGTTTTAATGACTTCACAATATGGACCAATACTGCCCAAGCAGACGACATCCCATAAAGAATGAACATTATTGCAAAGCTATTATTTGTCAAATTATAATGAGTTTGGTGTATATAAATGTAATGGCATGTCAAACCCTTCAAAATGAGATATGACCCGATTCTGATAACTAAAATATTTTGCTTGTAAATACACAGTATAGGGGTTAATTAACAATCAAAGAAACCAGACTTTCAAATTGAAAAAAACCCCGGAATGATATTAAGGACGGCATTTGTTCCGAACATACCGCGGTATGTGCAGCTGAATATATAATGGCGTCTTAATTTGTTTACAAGCGACAGATTCCTTTATTTTTGTATTAATGCATTTGTCATCAAAATAAAACCATGCGCGGGGTTTAGAGTGAGGCAATAGATTATACATTTAGCCAGACGATAGTGAAGTAAGAGAAAGAACTCAAGAGAGGATAAAAACACAGGCACTGAAAATGTGTGAGATGTCATGGGACATCGTCTGCTTGAGCAAATCATGTCCATACTGTGATCTCACACATCTCAGCAGCATTCGGAGAGCTCTTCAGGCGCTATGCCGGGGCTGTATTTAAGCGTTTTGTAATTTATAATAATCATTACTTCGAATGTTTCCAAGCATTGAATTTTGATAACCTTGTCGAATCAAAGTTTCAACTTTGCAATAATGAAAATAAAGTTAGTTTTTTTAAAATCAATGAATATCTACTTTAAAGATAGTCTGAAAGTTTGGGTGAAAACAGACCATTATTGATGATAAAAATTTGGAATCCTTAATTCTCCCAACTATATTATTATTACAATTTAATTCCATTTTAGGTGAATGTAAATCGTCACAAAGCAATGAATTAGCTCTATATACCACTCCAGACATTTAACTTTTAAGTGTCGAAAGATTTTTAAAAGCCTGTCTTATGTCTGATTTGCATGGAAAACCCATTGGAGAATTCAAAACTAGTTGGAAGAATGTACTGTTAGATAGTGTCGCACAGTGACGCCTTCAAGAAAACCATAAATATTTTTCCAGAATATTTTGCATGTTATAGGATAAGTACAGTAGAAGGAATACATAATAAGTAACATTTCATACATAAATCACACTTTTCATCGTCCTTCAACAATGTTACCGAGTCACTTTAAGCATCATACTTTGCAGTTGGTGTAGAAAAAGATTTGTGAGGTCACAGTGCGAAAAATTACATTTTATAAAGAGGAAAAACCAAATCCCAATGGGGTTATAAGCACGTTTTCATAACGGAAGACTGAAAATGCCTTTGATAAGTAACTAAATCATCTATACATGCGAGCGAGCGTAGAAAGCGAGCTTTGGGTGAAATTGCTCTTAGCCGCTTGAAATTAGGGGCACGTTTAATGAGAGGAAAAGGAGACAATTATAGAAGGGGGTAAGACACCTATTAGAAAAGAAAATGAGCACGTGTTAAAGTAGAAGGGGGAATTTGTCGACGGAAAAGGGGCACCCATCATATTTTGATAGTGGCATTCATGAGAGGTGAAAAGGGGAATTTATAAAAGGGGGATAGATCCCTTATTAGAAAGGAAAACAGGGGTTATTATGATAATGGGAAGGGGCATTTATAAGAAGAAGAAGAGCACTTATTAGGAGGGGAAGGGGCAATTGTCAAATGAGTATTCCTCAGATTTGAATAGGTCCAATCATCGGAGGTGAAGGGGCACTTATCTGAATTGAAAAGGAGTAACTTCTAGTACCTGGCTGTCTGCCATAACAACAAAGAAGACGAAATACTTCGTGCATGGCTGATCGTCAACGAAACGGGGTTTGTTGTTTGTTGCTAAGGCAGGCAGCCAGTGAAAACGAATTCGTTTGATAAATTTATGGAAATGCAAGCATTACTTTTAACAAACGGAACTTTGTTATTCCTGGCTCATTTATCCTAATTGAGGTGTCATATGAAAGGGCAGAAAATCAGCTTTCTGGAAATGTGATTTTCTCTTTGAAATTCAGAAACCTTTCGCCAAATGATTTTGTGGTTTCCTTTCTTCAAATTGTTATAAATCACTCATGTGTGAAATATGCATCATATGAGTTGCATCAAATGAAAGAAGAGGACCTGAGCTTTACAAATATGTGTCATTTATTAATTATAGTTGTGAATTGTGATTAAGTTGTGATTAAGTTTTGATAAAACATCGATAATTCTCTCGGTGTCGTTTTTTCTAGGACGCACTGTATAACTATTGAGCACGTGTTTGTAACATTATCAAAGCATTTGGCACTTGTACCTCATGTATCTGCATTGAAATCGACTTTCCAATCGTTTCTGATGGATTCGAATAGGAAGTAACCTTTTGGGTCATACATACTTGAAGTGAAAATTTATTTATACAATTTTCTTTCAAGATATTGTAGGGAATGGATCTAACCAATGAGGAACAAATTTCCTCACTACATACAAATGCAGTCACCAATATGCTATCTTTAACTTTCATTAACTTGTTTTTCTATAGAGACCTACGTTGATTTCCAGGGCTTTGCCTCCTTATTACGCTATCCCTATTGTCTTAAGGAACTACTAAATTCACGTGTGGTCTATTGTTCCTTTCTAACCAACTCAGGGGCCTATTATGTTAAGTGTCAACGTCGTTCGATTCCTCTCTCTTCGCCGTCCTTCTCCATTCTTTCACGGGTTCATTCACGGCGAAAAGGTATTGGGATTGCGGTATACTTATCGATTGGTTATTGATTTATTACATGAATGCGCGATTGCGGCCTGATTATCGATTGGTTATGGATTGATTACATGAATGTGCTATTCAAAGTTAACTGTGGATGACGTGTTGCCGATAGGCGAAGCGTGGCATGGTCATTATCTTTAAGATAAAGGCGGTGTCAAAATCGAAAATGATGTCAAGATTGACGGATGGATGGATTTCAACATGACTTTGTAAGCCATGTTCAACAAAACAACTTGCTTTTAGTTTGGTAATGCAGAAATTGTCATTAAACAACAGGCGGATTATGTTTCAAATCGTGTGTGCACGGAGCCTACTATTAGATGGACAATTACTCCTGATAATCCGGAAATTTGACCTTTGATTGCCCGACATAACAACAATTACTGTGTAAAGCGGTCATCAATAAAGGTACAGACGTCGAGACCTCGAGACGACGCCAGGCTATTGTTTGTCACCTGGTCCAGTGGCTTCCCCGGAAGAAACATCCAGAAATCGTGAATTGAATAGTCATTGAATATTCTTGACGAACAAACAAAGTAGAATATTGATATAGAAACGGAGCACAGTGAAACAGAAATGTCTTTCACATCAGATTGTCTATTGATGTCCTCCGTTTGTTTCATTTCTTATTCGTGCTATTGCTTTTGAAATAAAAATAAAAGACGTAGTAGTGCCGAAATTTGTCACAGTGGACCTTTCAATCTTGTTGATATCGTCTTATTGTTAGGGTGACAGTCCATCGCATTCTTATCATTCTTCTTCGTGGCGAAATCTTTGAATGAGATTAGTCGGATGATAGAACTTTGACAATAGCGTATAACTCTCGAATAGAAAGTGTATCGATTTTCCCCGATTAATCCGTAGAGTAATCAAATAGATAGGAGGAAATCTGTGACTGTGAGATGTGTTGTGAAGTGGGAATAATATCTACTCCAGATTACTCTCAAATCTTTGAGCGATCACTTCATCTTGCAGAGCAGTTTAGACACATTTTTTTTTACTAATTCCATAAGCATCAAATACAGAACAATTTTGGATTTCGTGCTGGTAGCCATCTTCTTGCATACCTGCTGATAAAACAGATCAACCTATAAAAAAAATAACAAACAAACAAACATTTGAATGTGCTATTGTCAGCCTTCTACGAGGGAATGCCTGCTTCACCATGTGTACAAGAAATTGGATTTAGTCGAAAGATGAAATGAACTATTTGACTTTTGTTCCGGACATATGTACACCAGCGAAACAGTGCTACTTGTGGAAACGTTTTTATCCAGCTACACTATCAGTGGTAGGTAAGAGAGTTAAACCCAAACTTTTATATTTGTTTCCATATATTAGTTGTGATTCCAATTACCTTACTTACATTTTCAACAAGATAATTTCGACTCCACCCGAAGCTCTTGTCTTGAATCATGAAATATTTATATATGGATATCTGTCCTTTGGCAATGCATTAATGTTCATTTGCCACATTCGACCAGGTGAGGTAAATGGCTACCTGGCAGGAATTAATTCATTGAAATGCTAGAGTGCTGTAATCATGGCAGCTAGGCTAAATCTGTGGTAATAATAAATGCGCCTCGGAATAGAATTTCTAGATAGACGGCGCTATAGAAATGCCAATTAATAGTATTATTATTAGCTGAATTATTCATCCCGTTGCACACGAGGCGTCGTTTGCCAGACACAGGACTGCGTCAATGACTGGCGCATCCTTTTATACACCATCTTTGACTGGGTGACGCACAGAAAATGACTGCAAATTGAACAGAACATACTTTGAACCTGTACAATATCTGGCGTATGGGATAACTGCCTATAGAGGCTCGATTGACGCAAGCAATGACGCAATAAAAACAACGCCTCGTGTGCAAATAGGCACATGCACTGTGCATATAAAGCCTACATCATAGTCCCTGCATCATGTGTGTCTTTTTGTATTAATTTCCTGAAATACCCGACTCGACCAATCCACCTTTTGGCCATTTCTCGTTAATACAGTACCTCAGAAAAACGATAAGTTGTCAGGAGGGATTGAATAATATGTCTATTAAGGAAAAAAATAACACATTGAATTTGCACACATTTCGGTTCCTTGGCAGTTTCTACCCCGAATATGTTTTACATACGCTGTAATGCTTAAAAAAAATGATGTGGCGTCTATTCGGCGAAACAGAATGTAGATCTTTTGGAAAATATACTTTACTGGTACAGTTTGAAATATGATATGTTACATGTCAATGATAATATAAACAAATGTAATAATAATAATGATGATGGTAGTAATAATAAAAACAATGATGATGAAATATATATATAAACAAATTATTGTGGGTTCTAGCGCTCATGTCTGTCAGCCGACTTGACCCTCCTGGCGCTCCACACCTGGGCAACTCATGAACAACATCTTTATAATAAAGAAGCTCTTTAAAATTCAAGAAGCGTGTCGTAAACCACAAGGCCCCTGGTCCTAAGAATATCAGACCCGATTAGCTTCGGAACCAAGTACCTCGCATTGTGACGTTACCCCCTTGCTGTACTTGCAGTAAATAGAAAGAAAAGTGTATCGATTGAATGCTTACCCTTCATAATAAAACATCGAGTGCACTTGATTTACTATCAAGAATGTTTAGATCACTGTAGAAAGGGGCATCAAATCTTCTTAAAAAAAGCAGGAACGTGCATAGGACCTCCGATCGGAAAAAAGTTGGGGATAGTAGGAAATGTTTAGACAGCTCTTTAAGTGAAGAATCCAACAAAATTTAGTCGATAGAATGTGTTTCCCTTACTTAAGAAAAGTCACTCTCTTGTATAAAACTCGTCCCCTCTCGTGTAAACCCGTCCTCTCTCGTGTAAACCCGTCCCCTCTCGTGTAAACCCGTCCCCTCTCGTGTAAACCCGTCCCCTCTCGTGTAAACCCGTCCCCTCTCGTGTAAACCCGTCCCCTCTCGTGTAAACCCGTCCCCTCTCGTGTAAACCCGTCCCCCTCTCGTGTATACTCGTCCCCTCGGTAACCCTTACATATAAGGCACAACACACACTACACGATCTGAATCATTTGGGGGGGGGGGGGGGGGGGGGGGGGGGGGGGGGTGGACATTTCAATCGTGTCCATTTACTCACATTGAACCTCCTTACAAGCAAGATGGTTGATTGTGAACCCCTAAACCTCAAAGTATCATGTCAGCAAACTTAAGGGGAAAAAAGACCCAAAACAGCAACGAACACATTTTTTTGGCAAGACTGCGAGGGGATATATCATGATATTGTTTTCAACTAAAAAAAAAAAAAAAAAAAAAAAAAATCAGCCGCGCGTCCATTTTGGGTATTCTAATGATTTCGTCACTGTTTGACAACACAGGCCTACTCCCTTTTCTTTCTAATCATCCTTAGTATAGTATTTTACAAATCAATCCACGTTTGAAGAATGTATCTAAATCGTAGTTGTAAGAAATTAACTGTACAACTGGAATTTCAACCTTTCATGAGTGAGAATGGAAACGAAAGAGGCGGTTTCATCATCTCTTATCTCGCCATGCATAATGTTTTAGTACTTTTTCTTAAACGGGCCTCCGTGACATAATTTTGTAGCTTGAAATTTGACCCATTAGCCCCCTCCCCCTCCACTCTCCCCCTTTGTCTCTCCATCCATTCTCATCTGTATAATCAGGAGAACTGCTAATATAAATACAGCTTCCTATAAGGATCCATCCTTTCATCCATCTATGTATTAATCTATGCTACGATCCATTAGCCATATCATTCTCCTTTCGCTCCTCGGTTTTTATCATCTACATCATTTCGATTTTCTATCTTTTTTCATATAGAAAACATCGAAGGGATTCGTTTTGATGGAGGGTCGTGAAAGTGACTACTACGACAACCGACATTACCAGTCAGTCATCAGGTCCGAGACAACCTACTTGATAATCAGTTTTGCCTAAACAACGTGTCCTATCCATCTTTAAGCTCTTTTATAGTAACAGTATCAAGCTAGTTGAACATTGAAGGAATTATCCGATGAAAAGAACGGGAATACTTAATATCTTGATAATGGACTAGTGCATTGCAACATCGCTCCACGTAGCGTTTTACTTGACAACTTACACTATCCATCATAGATGTTGAGGAACAGATCAATGTGTATGATGTTTTCAGTGATGATGCGTGCACCAGTGTATCCTGTAGTCGCCATTTAGAGCCATAAGAGCCTACAAGCGGTACCAATTTTGTGACCCTGATGACAAGCGATGACATAGAGGAAGGTGATGAAACAAAAATGTCCGCAGCACCAAAAACACAGCGTAAGGTCCAGCAGAACAAATGTATTTCCAAACTCTTCTCAAGCATGACAAAGGTCCACGAAGTCAACCGTCAGCACGATCACGAGCTCAGCGTCAGGGTCGAAGAGCTGCGTCAGAAGGAACACATGGAGAACGTCAGGCGTTACTCCGACATCAGGCATCTCCAGCGCACCCTGTCCGAGATGCGCATGGAAAAGAACCGGTTGACGCACACGTTCACGCCAGAGGAAATCTACAATGACGAGGTTGCGCCAGTCATGTCCTGGCGCAAGATCCAATTGAAACGATTCCAAAACCAGCCCCGTAAACAGCGGAGGAAATCGGACGCTACCCAGGCGCCGTTGGCCGTGGCCGAGAACGCCGAATTCACAGCAAAGAATAAGTTCAGGTCGGCGATAATGGCAGTGTGTCTGTCCAAGGCCCTTTCCCACATACCTGAAAACAAGAGCGAAAGCACAGCAAATGAATCGAAGCAAAGTGAGAAGGAAAAGACTGACTCTATCAACAATTTGCGGGAACGTCTTAAGCAAGTTAAAGACACGAAGGTAGTAACGAAGCAAACTCCAGACAAAGGGCACAATGTTGGTGATACCAAAAGTGAGACGGAGGAACATAAACAATCAAGACCCGAAACGTCCGAAACAGAAAGATTATCTCGGGTGCTTGATATCCTGAGAAACAGTTCAAGAGACAAGAGCAGATCATCATGGACGAGATCACTAGATAAGAAAGTCAACGCTGTTCCAACGTTCGGCCAACTTCACCCAGTGCGTCGGTCGTCATTGGTCCGCCGACCTGGCGACCCGCCGCGACGGCGACCTTCGACCTCAGACATGAACTTTGACTCGTCACACTTTGTTATGGACAAAGATGGAACCATTCGCAGAATTTCGAGGCCCACTGTCAAGGACAACACCAATACAGAAGAAAGTCGAGGGTCAAGGGTACAAAGTTCTTCTTATCTTAGTACATGTAGTAGGAAGGCAACACCTACCAGCTGTAAGGTATACGCCGCAGAACCGTCGCGGCGTTGGAACGTCTCGAATGACGCTTCGGCGAGTAAAAGCGGATCGGCGCCGTCGTTCCTGGTGAAGAAAAGATGCGAGTTGTTAAAAAGAGACAAAGAAATGATGGATAGACTTCGTAGCTTTCTTGATTCGACATTGCCATGAGAAACTGGAAAAACTAAATATCATTCTGTTAGATCATAACCATGACAATCTGTGATGCCTGTGCGCACGAGGCGTTATTTGCTGACGTAATCCTGCGTCAGCGTCTCGCGTGCTCTGACGCGCATCGTGACAGTGAAATCGTACAGAAACTGAATGCAAAATGCAGAGTTCAAATTACTAGACCATGCACGAATTTGTGACTTCGGCAACTTATTTTCATTTATCATTGTTTGAATGTGTATTTCAAGCTTCATGGTGTCTTTTTAATGATGTATAATACGGATTCCAGTTTCTGTAAATGGTATTTATGAAAAATACACGAGACTGAAATAACATCTTACATCTCCTTAGTAGTCAATACATGTTGTATTTAGTTTGAAACAATCCTCTTTGGATGTGTGAGGTTGTCAATGACTCGTCACTGGAACGTTTAAACCATTAAATCGCTTTCACTATCCAATAATCATGGTTCCTTTTCAGAAGTTTCTGTACGTAGATATAGACATTAAAATACATCAAATACCGATTTTGTTAAGAAGAAAGAAATATACCTGATCATCCTGAAGGTGTAATAGCAATGGCAATTTTGTTTGGCATCTTTTTTTTTATCTTAACAAAAGTAAATGTATTCTCACAGAGAATTAACAGAGAAGATGATACAGGCTCGCATCCTATAACAAAATTGAAAGATCGGAAATTGCTTTTGAAGGACGCACTCGGATTAGTCGAAATTTTCATTTCCTTGGTAATCAATATTTAGTTTGAAATACTCTTTTGTGGATGTGTGAGGTTGTCAATGACTCGTCACTGGAACGTTTAGTCTGTTTAATCACTTTCACTATTTAATAATCATGGTTCCTTTTCAGAAGTTTCTGTACGTAGATATAGACATTAAATTACATCAAATACCGATTTTGTTAAGAAGAAAGAAATATACCTGATCATCCTCAAGGTGTAATAGCAATGGCAATTTTGTTTGGCGTCTTTTTTTAAATCTTAACAAAAGTAAATGTATTCTCACGGAGAAATAAAAGAGAAGATGAAAAGGGCTTGCATCCTATGAAAACAAAATTGAATGATCATCGGAAATTGCTTTTGAATGACGCACTCGGATTAGTCGAAATTTTCATTTTCAAGTGCAAGAGGAATTTCCATTGATCGGAAAGGTCGCCTTCTTGACCTCATGCGTTACCGGGAGATCGCAACCTTCGATTCCCGGCAAAAAAAAAAAAAAAAAAAAAAAAAAAAAAAAAAAATCGAAATGACATCCCTTCTTTTCTCTTTATTTGATATAAAGAACAGTACTGAAATGAGCCTGTCCCACTCTCAGTTTCTTTTCCGAGTGAGAGACAGAGACTGAGAAAGAGAGAACAAAAAAAAAAAAAAAAAAAAGAGGGGGAGGGGGTATACACGGAGAGGTGTATAGAGAAACCGGATGGTATATTTCAGCGAAAATTATTTGGAGAGCGATATCCAGAGCTCAAACAAGAATTAAAGACATCTGTTTAAAAGAATTGTAAGAGAACATATGTATTCTAATATATTGGTATATATACCAGCCCACGGAGCATATGGGAGTACATGTAAATTCCAACTCTAAAAAAAATTGGCATCAGAATCCATCTTCCACTCAATAAACACGGATGATACATGGACGAAACAACACATTAATAATAGAACAAAGTATTTCTTTTCAAAACCATTTCATAGCCATTTAATCAATTTATTCACAACTTCAATTTTTGGACATTTCAAATAGAAATACATCAGGGTCCCTCTAACACAAATCTTTGGCAATTAATCATGTGATTTATTTTTGTGATTCATAGTGATTAAAGCAATCAATCACATAAATAAATTGTATGATCAATTGCTAAGCTTTTTGATAACAGGGCGCAGCCGCAGATGTTTCCACCAATCGCTAAAATACTGATACCGTTGACAACACCTCATCGAACTTTGAAAATATGAAAGAAAGATTATTGAAAGAAGAAGAATTTTAGAGAATAAACTAATAAGTAGCTGATTTGATGGATTCACAAATATAAAATGTTGACCTTCAATTATTATTTGAACAATTATTTGAATCCGATTTCATGGTGTACATGTAGAGCAATAATATTCCATATTGTTTTCCTTCCTATAACATTGTGCGTGATTGAACTGTTACTGAATAAATGAAGGTATGATTTAATATTTAAATCGACTTCATATCATACTTTCCACATTACAAGACAATAGAATAATAATTTCTATTTTGTTTATATCATCATCTTTCTATGAACATACATACATGTATAAAATGGGAATAAGATACAGTAATGGAGCTTTAAAACACAATGATCTATTTTATTTTCAAGCATTATGATGTTGCATAACAATTTCAATTATTTACGAAAACATAAGATAATTCAGAATAACATTCCAGTTCAGACACTTCAAATCATCAAGCCTCTTTAATATCTAGATAAAATAAGCTTTCCTCTTCCTTTAACAAAACATGTAAACTAAGCAGAGCTTGGAATATCTTATAGAGTTGTAAGTTTCATTAAAAGATAAAGCATCGATTTGGATGGTTGCATTTGATTATTACTATTGGAACATTGCTCACCATGCATCCATCGTGCATATAGACACTGGTCCAAGAGAGAGAGAGAGAGAGAGAGAGGAATAAGATACATTAGACTATCTCATGGTCCCATTTTACAAAACTTGTTGTAAGCGACAAATGACAGTCATTGTTATAAGCTACTGAAATCCTTGCTTCTGATTGGTTATCAGCAGATTTGTCACTGAAATAAGGCTTCGTGAAATGGGTCCCCGATATTAGTTACACTCCTGCTAGTCTAAAAACTATAAAGTGGATATATAATAGCGATATTGACTGGCTTATTGTATCAGGTAGTAGGACCCTAAATTACCCTTGATATTATTATTCAGTCTAACCACAGTGTCCTTTTCTACAACTCTATATAGTATCATACCCCACTCAGGGCCAGTCAGTATATAAATATTAACTGAATTATATATTCATAATAAAGGGCATTTAACAATTCATAGTTGCGTGGGTGAATTACCCATCTTACTTACTACATGCTAACGTAGTATTATATTTATTTAAGCTACTTTGAATAGGCAAGGAATATAAGTACATGAAATAAAACAAACTGACTTCTAACTTATATGGAATAGCATAATAATACAAAGATTGCAAAACAAACCTATTGCTCAAGAAGTACCTCTTAGAAAATACATGTACATCAAATACTACAAAAATATGATAGGGTTATTAGAATATCTAGATTGTGAAACATTTCAACAATATTTTAGTGTATACAGTCTGCAAGATATCATGGCAACTTTAAAAATAATAATCAATATGGCATACATTAAAGTAGGAAGTGATATAACACAACATTCAAGAAATAGTTGGCACTACAGTTATCATGAGTTTTAATATGCCATATAAGTAAACAGATAATTGAAGGAGAAGTGTTCCACTATGATATAAACTTATGTAGGATTTTACCCTTGACTAAATAAAAAAAAATAACCAAGTGCAAAAAGTTATTAATTTGAAGATAATACACTATCTTCTACCACTATATTATAGCTGAATTTCAAATAGAGCTTGATTAACAACATACAGCATTTATTTAATTGATGGTGAAATTGATTATATGGATACTGTACATGTTAAATTGTATCTGAAATGAGATGAAATTGAATTATTAATTATTAATTTTGAACTTACTTTGTCAACTATGATCTTTATTGTGCAAACAATTGATATGAAAAGGAACAATTTGAAATTTTGAATCAATCAATCAGTTTCCAGGGGCGAGAAAACAAGCACTTAAAATATATGTTTACAAGCAACTGAAAAACTTACGGCATATGATGAGAAGCAGGTTGTATGGTATGTGTCCAAAGTGAACAAGGCCAAAATCATATTTGTTACGCATTTGATTTATTGTAAATGTTAAGAAGGCTACAATGTAAATCAGTTTGCTGGTAAACGGACATGGTTATGGTTTCTACTTCATCAGAGTTCAGCTGATTATGGAATGTAATGGTTGACTACATAAGCATATGTATGTAAATGAATATTTGTAACATCTACGTGTATTTCATATATCACATATAAATAAGCCACTATAAACGTCATGGTTAGGAACTAATGGAATGTATGAATGTAAGAATGCAATAACAAAAAACTAAAGGAAAGGAGAAAAAACAACACAAAACAAAACCCTGATATATTATACAAATAGTGAATGGTCATGAGTGCAATGGTACAAGATTTTGCACGAGGTGAAAGATAAGAGACGCTATATTCAACGAGGCGCAGCCGAGTTGAATGGAGCGTCTCATCTTTCACCGAATGCAAAATATTGTTCCATTGCACGAATAAAGACCATTCACTATTTGTTTTATACAACACCTCGGACGTTAACAGGCTTAAAACAGTTTTCTTAGGCCTAAATCTCAGCGATTTTTGTTTGTTTTCAATTTATGAAATTGCTGATAGTGAGTGCGCACTATTAAGCAAGCAGCAAACCACGCACGTACCATGCGCCACGCGTACCAACCTTTATGTTATTGTTACGCGGAGTGCAATATCGTTTGATCCTTTCGCACCATTGCACTCTGACGTCACTTAGCTCACCATATACTTCGTACATCGTTAGTGACGTCAGAGTGCAATGGCGCGAAAGGATCAAACAAAATTGCACTCCGCGTCAATGATGCCGTTCGATGGTACTTTTAGCGCATGTCATGTGATCAAGAATTCACCAATGAGGTTGCAAGAATCTTCGTAGGCGTTGTATAAAAAGATATAAGATCTAAACTAAGATGTAGATTAAAATGTAATCATTTAGGTAAAGTTGTAGTCCATGATTGTTGTAAACATTAATAAAGAAAAAAAAATTTGTATTTTGTTCAGTGTACTCACACACATCAGAAAATTGACAAAGGTAGAAGCACGAGTCAACTCAAAACATCAAAATTACAGCAAACGTTCTCATAGATTTTAGAAACAAAAATTATTTATATATTTTCAGGAGTTTTTGGTAATTCCTTTATGTATTTAATAGAGCAGATGGAACTATTGAAAAGGTATTTTTGCCTTCTGCTGCAAACTCTTATGGATGCTCTTTTTAATAATACATCACGTAAATAATGTACTTGCTTCGCCCAGAAATCATCAAAGTCTTGTCGATCTTGTTAGTTAAACAAAGTATTGACATCAAGAAAGTTTGGGGCAATACATAGCAACAGAGAAAATCAGTGTCGATGACGGCACTTCTTTTTGTTCACGGGACCAAAGTTTTGTGAGACCCGGAAAACAGAGACTGATTTAGAACACTGAACTGGATATGAAGACACATCTCTATCAAGTCAATACTGTATAACATCCCTGACAAAAGAACAAGTTGCATTTCGAAAATTTGGACAATAACATTTACATCAATTGATAATATACTTACGAAACATGTGCGTGTTCTACAATTGGGTACTATCAATTCTGGAACAAGGATGGTCGAAGAGTAATCATTTCAGTTTTAATATGATGAAATACTAAAAGACAAACTATCCAAATAGCTCCACATGATTTGGCCAATAATGTGAAGCTTTTCAGTTTGTTTGGCTGGCTGCCTGGCAAAATGGTCTACTTTTCAGCATTTTGCAGCATCGACAATGATTTTTATTTCTTTAACACACTCCCACTTATAACTACAATGCTACAATCTTACACAAAAGCTCCCACACATCATCCCCTAGAACAAAACGTTTCACTAGAAAAATTCAATTTTTAAAATTCTTTGGTCTTATATTACAATATATTACAGAATGAGTATTTTAAAAAAAAAAATTAAACATTTTGTACATTAAAAAAAAGAATAAGATGTTGAATTATACATGATTGAAATTACTTGGCCAATGCGCATTACATAACTTAATAATACAGTAAGATCTACTTTAGTGATCATCATATAGAAAGACCACAGATTTTGTTTCCCTTGAAACATGTACTAAAGGAACCTGTACAGGAAGATCACTTTTCTTGTCTCCCTTGAGCGGTCTTTATATACAGGTTTCACTGTAGTATCATTGATATGTGTATGCACCAGTGATCCGTGTGTCCTTGACACTACTATATTCATAAAGATGTATAAAAAAGTATACTCCAGTGATTGAGTGTTGTCCAAGTTCTACCAGTTTACCTTCGACATTTGAATTTCAAATGATAGTCTAGCACCACATCTTCTTTGGCATCATACAGCAAACAAAGAATCAATTTGCATATTCATGACACAGAATCCATATTTTGGCAAGGCATTGATCTACATTTGCCACATTCAACCCAGGTGAGGTAAATAGGTACCTGGCAGGAATTAATTCTTTGAAATGCTAGAGCGTCGTAATGGCAGCACAGCTAAAGCCAGGGTTATAATCTCCAAGTTTGAAAGCACTTAGTGATTGTAATAAGCGCTATATAAAAACTGAGTATTATTATTATGTGCTATGCAGTCAAAGGACTTGATGATCTCAAACATTTGATAAAAATATGATACGTTGCAAAGGCTGATCCTATTCATGCATTTTCAAGAGTGTTTGCAGCTTCTGCCACCAAAATCAAAGACGTATCTATAAAGAATGCTCGATAAACTGCACATTCTCCCTTAGAGAGTTAATATTTTCTGTAAAGTATAAGGCAGATGATCATCTGACCTTTGATTGTAGGCTAGCATTGTCCCAGGCTGATGCTAAAGGTCAAAACTTAAAAAAAAAACCTGATGAAATATCAACAAAAAAAGGATAAAATGCACAATTTCCCTTACAGAGTTAACATTTTCGGTAAAGTATAAGGCAGACAATCATCCGACCTTTCATGGTAGGCTAACATGGATATTTTCCCCGGCTGATGTCAAAGGTCACGACTGGTCAAAGAGGTGAAGGGTCAACTTGACCTTGACCTCACCCGTTGATACCTCATGGAGTAAGAGGCTCTTGGTCATCGGTCCCCTTCCCTGGGTCTCTTTCAGGATGTCTGCTACTCTCACTTCGGTCCTTCCCAAGAAATCTGATGGAAGTGAGACAAAATGAAAGACCAATAAAAAATAACTAGATAAAGCTACTTACATGTATAATTTCCATTTTCAGGGGAGTGTTTCACAAAGACTGAGATCAACTTTAAGTTGGACTTAAATATGGCAAGACATTCCACTGTTTTCTCTCACCATTATGATCTTTAGATAATATTTTTTCCTTCAATTATGAATTATCAAAAAATGTAAATTCTGTAGATTTGTGATCATGATTTGTACGTCCCGTGAGAGACCAATGCCAGTAAAAGGTGAGAGCAAATAGTGGCATGAACAGCCTGCCATATTCAAATACAACTTAAAGTCGATCTTAGTCTTTGTGAAACACTCCCCTGGTGTGCTTCATTGTATTACTGACCTATACATGTACCTTCTATTTGCCTTGAGTGCCAATTGGACATTCGCTGGCATGCCACGAGTGCCGATTGGCACAAACATATGCTACCTAGGAAAAGGATTGCACTGCGCATTACAGGATGAGTAGCTTTGCTTAATAAAATAACATTTTATTCTTCATAATAAAATTGATTCTGCTAGCTAGGACTACAACAAATAGGTTAGCTAGTGCAAAATTTGACTATAAAGGATAGCAAATCAAACTTTATTTTATTCAGCTTAGGAAACTGTGACTTTTGACTTGTGCGATTTGTAGTTATGCAGATTAACTGTATATATTTATGATGTCAAGTTGCATTCATAAATCCATAATAGAATTCAACAATACTTGGTAATGCATGGGACATACCCACAATCTAAATACATGTAAATGATGAAGTTGCATTCACAATTTCATTATAGAATTCAATAACACTAGTAAATGATGCATAATCAACCAAATACAACTGGGGTTAAAGCCCCTCTGCACTAGTGAGACATGGAGGGATTGGACCTCCCTGCAAGGTCACTGACAGGTGGTTATCTCATCAAATCACCTTTCAATTAACATAAGGTAAAGGGCAACATGGGGGATCAACGATACCACTTAGGCATTGTTGGCTGTATAGAGGGCGCAAGTAGCTATAAGTATTGCAGTGGGGCTTTAAAGGGATCCGGTAACTTTGTCTCAGATTCTGAAACAAAATCCTGGATTTAGCTCATCCTGCAATGATAATTATGAACCCCATGAGATTTTATGATTCGAAATCGAAACCAAATTTTGCGTGCCAAACGGTTTTCATAACACTACAGTATTGGGGAAAACGAGTATGGTAAAACTGGTTACTCAAAGATTTTACTTTTTTGAGGCACTTCTTGATAATTTTGAAGCGCGATTTTTTTCAGGGCTTCAATATTAAACCATATTACATTCACTGATAACACGTAGGGCCGTGCATCTCAGATTTAACATTGTTAAATGATGCCTTTAATTTTTACCGTTGGGGGAGAAGAAGTCCCTATCATAGACGGTGATACAGAGCACGTCCTGCTCCAGATCTCTCACTATGAACTGCATGGAGGAATCCCAGATTGGGTTCAGGTTGTCAGGTACCACCTTGGTCTTGTGCTCCTGTGACCCCATGCTGACCTCACAGTAGGGGTCAGCGCGACCTGGACAGATGGGAGACATAAATGAAATAGGTACATTCAGCAAATATTAATAATAATAATACATTATAAGCGCATAATAAATATAAGTTTCTCTATAAGCTGTACAAGCATGAATGACGAAAAATATAATCACATAAAAGGAATCAACACAAATACAGTTTTTGAGTGGTGACATGCGTCAAGGAAAGGCATTTCCTGATTATCTTCTACAAGCAGCAAGCGGAAAATGAGCTTCATGAATGCATTAACCATCATAATATTTGAAAAGCGCTTTCAGACGGTATTCCGTATTAAGTGCTACATAAATCCAGAAATATGTAGCAATAGGACACCCACAATTCTAGATCTAAGGAATGAGAAATAGAATATTTTGTTTGTTGTTTGTTCTGTGTTTGTCAAAGCTTTTGTAATTCCTAAAATTGCTGAAATGTTGTGCATCATTGTACATTGTGCGTGAATGAATCCGATGTTCGTTCCTGTGGATGGTTTAAAGTGTTTAAACACAGGATAGCTACTGTCCTGTGACTGAATTGGACAGTTTCATGAATGTGAATACGGGATAATTACAAAGCTAAAGAAAGTACAAGACCCATGGATGTGTTATACCCGTGACTGAACTAAACTATTTCAAGCGTGTAAATGCGGGGTACGTTACGAAGGTAGAAAGTTACGGGAATCATAGATGTGTTCATACCTGTGACTGAATTGGACGGTTTTAAGTCGTATCCCTCTATGATGACCACCATGAGACGTCCTACACCTTTACTTCTCTGAGACCGAGCTGTAGGGGTAAGGATACATTCATACATGAGAACTTGCATTAAAATGTAAATTGTTATTTGCTAATGTTCTTAAAACAAACCCTTAAACATAAGATTGATTTCATTTCACGCAAAAATATTTCACTGCATTCTTTTACATAAAACGAATACCGGTATATCACGGTATCATTTGTGGAATATTTGAAACTGAAGTTGAATTGATATTAACAATGATCGTTTAGTAAATGGGAATTCTCAAGGAGTGTAATACTGGTGGAAATAGAAATAGAAATCAAATATACATGTATATTGTTTTTTAGATCTTATACAGTAAGCTACTTCACAATAGCAAATGACCCCTTAATATCCACAGATCTTTTACATGTGGAGGTGTCTCATTTTAGAATAGTCAATGCCAAAGGGATAGAGGTGCTACATGAATACCTTTTGTTTGCTCTCTGGAAAAGAATACTTCCACATATGTATCACAGAATGTACTGCCAGTGCATGAATGAATAATGATTACAATATGAGCATGTACAGGTATCCAGCAGTCTTTTTGATGAGTTTTACAGTTTTTATAAATGGGAATAAATCTTCCCATGCGCAGATAATGTACAATCTTATTGTACAAAATGTTTCATTGTTCCTCATCCATACAAAAGACAATCAACAGGGAAACACAATGACTTTGATCTTTTAAGCTCCCTTCAATCAAATAACTATTTCAGTTCCATTTTTATCTACCCACTTCTTGGACACATGAAAATCTCTCACCTCTTTGAAGTTTTTCTCTTTTCTTCTTCTCAGTTTCAATGTAGTGTTTGGAAGCCTTTTCTATCCTGTCCTTCCAGCGATTCCTGTACCGAGAAAAAAAAGCAATTATTTTACGCTGTTTGAAGATAGAGTCAAGTTGTGGTCATCCAGTTTCATTGTGAAATATTTAAGGTAAGTACGATAAAGCCCCCCCCCCCCCCCCTTCACCCAACAAACAAATGAACAAACACTATGGAAATGACTGAATACTAAACGTAAGGATTAAAAAAAAGAGGACATGTAGTCCCATGTACAGTACCTGTCGTTGTTACTCTCTGATCTCAGAGCATAGACCTTGTCTATGTGATTGATGTGAAAGATAAAGTCATCTGCTGCTGCATCACTGGGAATCTTCAGCTCCACTTCATTCAAGAATAGAGGCTGTAAAGAGATAGAAGAAGAAACTAAATTGGGTGTCCATGTTGGTGGTGAGCCCTGCCAATGGGCACTGACCGGGCAAGGTATTTCCTATCATTATGTTTCCATTCCAGGGGGGTGTTTCACAAAGATCCTAAGTTGAATTTATCTCTAAGTTGGACTTAACAATTATGGAAAGCCATTAGCATCCTTGAAAAAGTTATTTTAAAAGGCATAAAATGTTTATTCAAATCATTCTTATTTTCTATTATCATGGGAGATTTCATGTTCTTGATGTGGAATTTATGAAACTTAAGAGTTAAGCTCGACTTAAAATCTTTGTGAAACACCCCGTCTCCCTCTCCCTTTCCCTGTCCCGTCTCACTCTCCCTGTCCCCGTCTCCCTCTCCCCTGTCCCTCTCCTTTTCCCTGTCCCTGTCCCTTTCCCTGTCCCTGTCCCTGTCCTGTCCCTCTTCCTGTCCCTCTCCTTTTCCCTCTCCTTTTCACTCTCCCTGTCCCTCTCCCTGTCCCTGTCCCTGTCCCCTGTCCCTCGTCCCCTGTCCCCTGTCCCTCTCCCCTGTCCCTCTCCTTTCCCTGTCCCTCTCCTTTCCCTGTCCCCCTGCCCCCCTGTCCCTCTCCCTGTCCCTCTCCTTTCCCTGTCCCTGTCCCCCTCTCCCCTGTCCCTCTCCTTTTCCCTGTCCCTCTCCTTTTCCCTGTCCCTGTCCCTTTCCCTCTCCTGTCCCTGTCCCTGTCGCTCTCCTTGTCCTTGTCCCTGTCCTGTCACTCTCCCTGTCCCTGTCCCTGTCCCTTTCCCTGTCCCTGTCCCTGTCCCTGTCCCTGTCCCCTGTCCCTCTCCCCTGTCCCTCTCCTTTTCCCTGTCCCTCTCCTTTCCCTGCCCCCCTGTCCCTCTCCCTGTCCCTCTCCTTTTCCCTGTCCCTCTCCTTTCCCTGCCCCCCTGTCCCTCTCCCTGTCCCTCTCCTTTCCCTGTCCCTGTCCCCCTCTCCCCTGTCCCTCTCCTTTTCCCTGTCCCTCTCCTTTTCCCTGTCCCTGTCCCTTTCCCTCTCCTGTCCCTGTCCCTGTCGCTCTCCTTGTCCTTGTCCCTGTCCTGTCACTCTCCCTGTCCCTGTCCCTGTCCCTGTCCCTTTCCCTGTCCCTGTCCCTGTCCCTGTCCCTCTCCCCTGTCCCTCTCCTTTCCCTGTCCCTCTCCCTGTCCCTCTCACTGTCCCTCTCCCTCTCCTTTCCCTGTCCCTCTCCCTTTCCCTCTCCTTTTCCCTGTCCCTGTCCCTTTCCCTTTCCCTGTCCCTCTCCTTTCCCTGTCCCTCTCCCTCTCCCCTGTCCCTCTCCCTGTCCCACTCCCTGTCCCTGTCCCTCTCCCCTGTCCCTGTCCCTGTCCCTCTCCTTTTCCCTGTCCCTCTCCCTGTCCCTCTCCCTGTCCCTCTCCTTTCCCTGTCCCTCTCCCTGTCCCTCTCCCTGTCCCTCTCCCCTGTCCCTCTCCCCTGTCCCTCTCCTTTTCCCTGTCCCTGTCCCTGTCCCTCTCCTTTTCCCTGTCCCTCTCCCTGTCCCTCTCCCTGTCCCTGTCCTTCTCCTTTTCCCTGTCCCTGTCCCTGTCCCTCTCCCCTGTCCCTCTCCTTTTCCCTGTCCCTGTCCCTGTCCCTCTCCTTTTCCCTGTCCCTGTCCCTCTCCTTTTCCCTGTCCCCTGTCCCTCTCCCCTGTCCCTCTCCCTGTCCCTCTACTTTTCCCTCTACTTTTCCCTGTCCCTCTACTTTTCCCTGTCCCTCTCCCCTGTCCCTCTCCCTGTCCCTCTCCCTGTCCCTTTCCCTGTCCCTCTCCTTTCCCTGTCCCTGTCCCTGTCCCTGTCCCTCTCCTTTTCCCTGTCCCTGTCCCTCTCCTTTTCCCTCTCCCCTGTCCCTGTCCTTCTCCTTTTCCCTGTCCCTGTCCCTGTCCCTGTCCCTGTCCCTGTCCCTGTCCCTGTCCCTTTCCCTGTCCCTCTCCCTGTCCCTCTCCCTGTCCCTCTCCCCTGTCCCTCTCCCCTGTCCCTCTCCTTTTCCCTGTCCCTGTCCCTGTCCCTCTCCTTTTCCCTGTCCCTCTCCCCTGTCCCTCTCCTTTCCCTGTCCCTCTCCCTCTCCCTGTCCTTCTCCTTTTCCCTGTCCCTCTCCCTGTCCCTCTCCCTCTCCCCTGTCCCTCTCCTTTCCCTCTCCCCTGTCCCTCTCCCCTGTCCCTCTCCTTTTCCCTGTCCCTGTCCCTGTCCCTCTCCTTTTCCCTGTCCCTCTCCCCTGTCCCTCTCCTTTCCCTGTCCCTCTCCCTCTCCCTGTCCTTCTCCTTTTCCCTGTCCCTGTCCCTGTCCCTCTCCCCTGTCCCTCTCCTTTCCCTGTCCCTCTCCCTGTCCCTCTCCTTTTCCCTCTCCCTGTCCCTGTCCCTCTGCTTTTCCCTGTCCCTCTCCCCTGTCCCTCTCCCTGTCCCTCTCCTTTTCCCTGTCCCTGTCCCTGTCCCTGTCCCTGTCCCTCTCCCTCTCCCTCTCCCTGTCCCTCTCCTTTTCCCTGTCCCTGTCCCTCTCCCCTGTCCTCTCCTTTCCCTGTCCCCGTCTCCCTGTCCCGTCTCCCTGTCCCGTCTCCCTGTCCCGTCTCCCTGTCCCCTGTCCCGTCTCCCTGTCCCTCTCCCCTGTCCCTCTCCCCTGTCCCCCTCCCTGTCCCCCTCCCTGTCCCTCTCCCTGTCCCTGTCCCTGTCCCTCTCCCCTGTCCCCCTCTCCCCTCTCCCTGTCCCTCTCCTTTCCCTCTCCTTTCCCTGTCCCTGTCCCTCTCCCCTGTCCCTCTCCCTGTCCCTCTCCCTGTCCCTCTCCTTTTCCCTGTCCCTGTCCCTCTCCCCTGTCCCTCTCCTTTTCCCTGTCCCTCTCCTTTTCCCTGTCCCTGTCCCTCTCCCCTGTCCCTCTCCTTTTCCCTGTCCCTCTCCCTGTCCCTCTCCCTCTCCCCTGTCCCTCTCCTTTTCCCTGTCCCTGTCCCTGTCCCTCTCCCTGTCCCTCTCCTTTCCCTGTCCCTCTCCCTGTCCCTGTCCCTGTCCCTGTCCCTGTCCCTCTCCTTTTCCCTGTCCCTGTCCCTCTCCCCTGTCCCTCTCCTTTTCCCTGTCCCTCTCCTTTTCCCTGTCCCTGTCCCTGACCTTTTCCCAGTCCCTCTCCCCTGTCCCTCTCCCCTGTCCCTCTCCTTTTCCCTGTCCCTGTCCCTGTCCCTGTCCCTCTCCCTGTCCCTCTCCCTGTCCCTCTCCCCTGTCCCTTTCCTTTTCCCTGTCCCTGTCCCTCTCCCTGTCCCTCTCCCTCTCCCCTGTCCCTCTCCTTTTCCCTGTCCCTGTCCCTGTCCCTCTCCCTGTCCCTCTCCTTTCCCTGTCCCTGTCCCTGTCCCTGTCCCTCTCCCCTGTCCCTCTCCTTTTCCCTGTCCCTGTCCCTCTCCTTTCCCTGTCCCCCTCTCCCCTGTCCCTCTCCTTTTCCCTGTCCCTGTCCCTGTCCCTGTCCCTCTCCCTGTCCCTCTCCCTGTCCCTCTCCCCTGTCCCTTTCCTTTTCCCTGTCCCTGTCCCTCTCCCTGTCCCTCTCCCTCTCCCCTGTCCCTCTCCTTTTCCCTGTCCCTGTCCCTGTCCCTCTCCCTGTCCCTCTCCTTTCCCTGTCCCTGTCCCTGTCCCTGTCCCTGTCCCTCTCCCCTGTCCCTCTCCTTTTCCCTGTCCCTGTCCCTCTCCTTTCCCTGTCCCCCTCTCCCCTGTCCCTCTCCTTTTCCCTGTCCCTGTCCCTGTCCCTGTCCCTCTCCCTGTCCCTGTCCCTCTCCCTGTCCCTCTCCCCTGTCCCTTTCCTTTTCCCTGTCCCTGTCCCTCTCCCTGTCCCTCTCCCTCTCCCCTGTCCCTCTCCTTTTCCCTGTCCCTGTCCCTGTCCCTCTCCCTGTCCCTCTCCTTTCCCTGTCCCTGTCCCTGTCCCTGTCCCTGTCCCTCTCCCCTGTCCCTCTCCTTTTCCCTGTCCCTGTCCCTCTCCTTTCCCTGTCCCCCTCTCCCCTGTCCCTCTCCTTTCCCTGTCCCCCTCTCCCCTGTCCCTCTCCCTGTCCCTCTCCTTTCCCTGCCCCTCTCTCCCCTGTCCCGTCTCCCTGTCCCGTCTCCCTCTCCCCTGTCCCTCTCCCTGTCCCTGTCCCCCTGTCCCCTCTCCCTGTCCCTCTCCTGTCCCCCTCTCCCCTGTCCCCCTCTCCCCTGTCCCTCTCCCTGTCCCTGTCCCCCTCTCCCCTGCCCCCCTCCCCATGTCCCTCTCCCTGTCCCTCTCCTTTCCCTGCCCCTCTCTCCCCTGTCCCGTCTCCCTGTCCCCTGTCCCGTCTCCCTGTCCCCTGTCCCTCTCTCCTGTCCCTCTCCCCTGTCCCTGTCCCCTGTCCCCTCCCTGTACCTGTCCCCCTCTCCTCTGTCCCTCTCCCCTGTCCCTCTCCCTGTCCCCCTGTCCATCTCCTGTCCCCCTCTCCCCTGTCCCCCTCTCCCCTGTCCCTGTCCCTCTCCCTGTCCCTGTCCCCCTCTCCCCTGTCCCTCTCCCTGTCCCTCTCCCCTGTCCCTCTCCTGTCCCTGTCCCCCTCTCCCCTGTCCCTCTCCTTTCCCTGTCCCCCTCTTCCCTGTCCCTGTCCCCTGTCCCCTCCCTGTCCCTGTCCCCCTCTCCTCTGTCCCTCTCCCCTGTCCCTCTCCTTGTCCCTGTCCCCCTGTCCCTGTCCCCTGTCCCCTCCCTGTCCCTGTCCCCCTCTCCTCTGTCCCTCTCCCCTGTCCCTCTCCCTGTCCCTGTCCCCCTGTCCATCTCCTGTCCCCCTCTCCCCTGTCCCCCTCTCCCTGTCCCTCTCCCTGTCCCTCTCCTTTCCCTCCTCTCCCTGTCCCTGTCCCCCTGTCCCCTCTCCCTGTCCATCTCCTGTCCCCCTCTCCCCTGTCCCCCTCTCCCCTGTCCCTCTCCCTGTCCCTGTCCCCTGTCCCTCTCCCTGTCCCTCTCCCTGTCCCTCTCCTTTCCCTGTCCCTGTCCCTGTCCCTCTCCCCTGTCCCTGTCCCTCTCCTGTCCCTGTCCCTGCCCCCCTCTCCCCTGTCCCTCTCCTTTCCCTGTCCCCCTCTTCCCTGTCCCTCTCCCTCACCCTCTCCACATTTTATATTCAATGATATGCTTGTTATTCAATACGATCATGAAGGAGGTGAATAAAAAGGTTTTTCAGACTTACATGCTTGTACATCTTGTATTCCATGACGTTCTTGTTATCAGTTGTTGTGAAAGGCATAGGTAGACCAGACTTGATGGGTTGAGTGAAGAGAAGGAAGTCATTGAAGAGAAAGACAAACAGCTCCTTGTTACTCTTTGCCTGCACGAAGAGAGAGAGGAAGTGTGTGTGAGAGAGAGAGAGGAGGGAAAGAGAGAGAGAAAGTGCGTGTGAAAGAGAAGGAGAGAGAGAGAGAGAGAGAGAGAGAGAGAGATGAAGAGAGGGGGAGAGAGAGGGGACAAATAAAGAAAAGAGAAGAAAATATAAACAGAAACAGAGCAAGACATATATGCATGGAGAGGGAGCAAGATAAAGTTAACACAGAAACAGACGGTGAAAAATAGTAGAGAAAACAAAAAGGAAAGTAAATGTGATAATTAAAAACAATAGAAAAAAGGGACATGAATATTATTCCTTAAATGATTTCAAACTGTAGATTCAATGTTCCGTTAAATTTATCTCTACATGTATGAACATTATAATTAAGTTAACCGCTTTGATTTTGGGCTTCTCATAGTTGCCCAATTTAAATAGTATATCAGAGGTTGCCAATTATATCTACAAAATGAACTAAATTGGTTATATTACCTTATTGAGTTTCCCTGAGTGGAGATATTTCCTTGGGCCTAGGCAGTTAGTGAGTGAGTTGAAAATCAGTTCCTGGAAAGATGCAAATAGAAACATACAAGTGAATTAATCAAATATCAATCAACTAAACAATCCATTAACTTATAATTTATCAATCACCCATCATATATATATATATATCGGAACCATACCACAGGTGTCAGACATCCTCCCCTTTTTCATCATGCTCAGGTTTAATTTCCGATAGGCCTCAGTAGCAATTTCTTCTCCATTTATTCTACTCCTGTACAACTTTGTTTTTATCTCTTACGAGCATGATCATGATGCTAAAACGTGAAGCTGGTATGATGGAGCTAGAAAAAAAAAATGCTTTTAACCTGTTGACTACTGCATTGCCAAAGTTCCATAGGCTTAATACAGAGACCACCCGGTTCTCATAGGCACGGGTTAAGAATGGACAAAAGATTCACTTCATGCATATGTTTTGAAGCAAGTGCTTGTGCTTGTGGATTCAAGCAAAAGGCATGCACAAGCAATTGCTACTTTTTATGCATACGGCCCATGATCTATACAGCTACTTATTTTGCAAACGGCCCACGATGTAGCCTATCTTACCTCTGCTAGTCCAGTGCAGTCTACGTGATTCTGCAGCCATTCCAGTCTGTCTGAGTTCTCCTTCTCTCTAACTCCCTCATTGACCTGTTGACATAACTCCTCTGCTTTCTCACATGCCGTCTTGATGTTGGCGTAGTCGGCATGCATTTCTGGTGTGTATTTCAAAATCTTGATGGGAAAGAAGAATAAACTGGTATTGGTATTGGATACTGACGACCAGTTGGTACTTGTTACTGGTTACTTGTACAGGGTTAGAACGTGTGAAAAAGAAACCCATCCCTTTAATCAAAGATTTAGAAGAGAAGCAACTCAAACAGGAATGATTCTGGCAGAGCACTGCTATATATTCATTGCATAAAATTCTTCCACAGATGTTTTCATCTTTCTTGTGCAAAAGATCTCATACCAACGTTAACATGGACACCTTCATATTCTTGGCCCAATTTTAATGGAATGACCCAGATACATGATAAATAAATGATATAAACTCTCACCTTCTGCGTAAGAAGCGGATATCTTGTAATACGCTGCATGGGTTTGATCAGGTAACTGCTCACTGGCATACCTTTAGTCCGGGTGTCCGTGGCTAGTTTCTAAAAGATATGAAAACATCAAGAAAGCGTAAAACCAAGCCAGGCCAATAAAAGGAGGACTCATTCTAAATATCCAATAATTATCATATGCTACCCATAAAATTTTTTGGAGAAACTGGCAGGTTTTGTAAAGGATCTTGTCTCACTTTAGCATTGCACAAAAAAATAAACAAATGATAAAAGAAAAACGTTAAGGACAGAAAGGAACGTCACTTTTATTTCACAATAGTGCTCAAACATGAAATATGTGAAGTAGGAATATATGTGGTATCATTTGAAAGGGTAATAGATTTTCAAAAGATTATATACACAGCATTCTATACTATAAAAGTCATGGGTAAAGGAGTGTAGGGATTTTAAAAGTAAGCATTGATTTTTTATTTCATCAAATGTCCAATCAAGCGAAAAACCCTTTTTATCCCAGTAAAGGCCTCTTTCAGATATGGCTACGTTTTTAATCATAAAATGAATGAAAACACGTTAAAAGAATGAGGAGACGTTGCGGCGGGTTACCACGGCATATCTAAACAAGCCTTGTAACTCACTGAATTTAGGTAACTTTCTGAAGTTTTCTTGACTTATGTACACAAATAATCTACCATTTTTTATGGACATGTATGTTTATCTTGCTTTTGTTTGCGTAAAATAAACTGAAATGAGTAAAAATGAACTGAACTAAACCGACTGACTTTTTGGGTAATCACTCTTACCTTGACATGCTCTTTGAAGTCTGGGTCACTTTCAATCTTCTTTGAAAGCATGCTGGATGCACTCAGCTGACAGCTGCAGAAACGGATGTAGGGTGTCATGCGAGGGAGCTGCAGACAAATTGTTTGAAAAGAAAGAAAATAATAAGATTAAGATTCAGATTTTAATAGAAATGAAAATTGGCCTGAACTGGCATAATACCTCACAGTCACATCGACTCCAAGTCGACTGACCTTTGCCAATGGGGAAATGTAATGTTGTTTTTTTTAATTTATCGGGTAGAAAATTCTTTTTTTGAGAAAAATGAAACCAAGATCATAAATTTTGGTTACGGCATTTTGACTCTAGAGATACTTTCAGGAAGCAATGTTTTTTAGGTTAAATTTGCTACTTTTGCAGTCATAGTCACGCCCGAAGCAGCAAGATATTTGCACATGATGGCTTCCCATACAATCAGCTGTGTAAAAAAAATGCATGACTGCTCTCCCTTTAAAAACAAAGACAATATGAATGAAAGGGGGGGGGGGGGGCATTCATTTAGCAACTTTGTAATTCTATGGGAATCCATCAGGCAGGAAATTCTGTAATTATAATGATTTTCTAAGGGGATTGGTACCCTTTAAACATGTAAAGTTAATCAACTAAATAATCCATACCCATAAGTATGTGAACAATCTATTTGTCCCGAGTTTTGTTTCTTGAGAACATGACATATTAAAGCTTACATATAAAACCATTTAACAAAGGCCCTAATAAAACCAGTCCATAGTTCATTCTTGAGTTACAAAAACACACAAAACACAAAATTTACAAGGGGTATGCATACCCGACCCCCCCACTCAGTGTTATTTAGGGTACGCGTATGCTCGTTCCCTCTTTTTGAAATCACCCCCTATCTGAGGACTGCCAACATTTCTGAACCCCCCTTTCGCGGGCTTTTCGCGGGCTTTTCCTGCCTTGGAGACCCCCCTAAATCAGGAAAAATGCTCAATGTACCTCCCTAAATTCGGAATAATTTCTCAGGAGTCCAAATAGATGAGAGAAAAAAAGAAAAAACACCCCCTTTTTAAAGAAATCTCCGGGGGAAAAGTCAAATACACCCCTTTTTTTTACAATTCTCGGGCCGGACTTTGTCGCACGAAAAGTACCCCTTTACCGGACATTTTGGCAACACGCATGCGGTCATTTCGAAACCTGAGTGGGGGGGCTGGGTATGCATAATTCAGTTGTCAACTGTATACCCGTATGTATAAAGTATACTACTGACCTGTTCACACAAGATATCTCCTATCATATGGACGGGTTGGTTCTCACCACTCATCTTCTTCCTCACCCTAAGAGCTCTAAAAACAGAGAGAGAATAACTTATTGAGTTAAAACACACAAACTTGTGTAAACTAGATATTACAGAAACACAGTGGACAGGGTACAGATTTACTATAATTCACCTTTGACCTTATCAAATAAATCTACACCTGCCCTTTGTAAAGGGGAAGTTCACACCGATTATTAACTCTTTTAATATGAGCAGAAAAAAGAGAGAAACAAATATGAAAATGTTTGAGTAATATCTGATTTGCCATAATTATATTTAGGGTGGATGTATGACTGAAAAATGTCTTTTAGGGAAAATAGACATTTCTGACTTTTTTCAGTACAGAGCAAATGAGAGAGGACCTCGCAGGATACATCACAGAGTTGCCAATTTGTGTTTTGATAGATCACAACTTTTTTATAATTAATTGGATTTTACTCATAACTTTTACAGCCCTGTTCCTCTCATTTTTCTGTTTCTATTAAAACCAACTTAATATCAGGGTGGGATTCCCCTTTTTATTATCAAGCATATATGAAGTAAATTAAAAAAAAATGAATCTTGTTTAATGACTTTTAACTTCAAACCCAGACGATTGAACATTTACATTTTGTCCCCTGTTGCAACATTCATCATGCTCCTAACAGTTTTGAAGGCTTAAAAGAACTTGACGATAACACAGTGGATTTGGCTTTCATGCAGCCTTCCTGTATGACTGTTCTACAGAATTTAACAATTGAATGAATGTCCAAAAGGCTCTTGGTATCTCCTCTTAATAGTACATATACGATACATGGATGGCAAATGTATACAAATCTTTAAAATGGTATTTGACTTTAATAGGGATGAAGTGATTACAAAAAGGGAATGAAAAAAAATGTTGTAACAAGACATTGAAGAAAAGAGAGACAGAAAAATACATTAATAACGATACAAATTTGAATAAAATCACAAAGAGAGAGCGAGAGAAGGGGAGGAGAGAGAGTGGAAGAGAGAGAGAGAGAGAGAGAGGGAGGAAGATCATTAGGGAGGTAAAGAGTGACAGAGAGACAGAGACAGAGGAACAGTGAGTGACATACTTGAGTAGTTTTGTATTGCACTGAATGAGTTCCTTCCAATTGACAAAGACGGCAGCCATCTCCTGAGGGGTCATTATCTGAGACTCTAACATGGGTTTCTGGAACACCTGAAGTCAAACAAAAATAGAAACAATAGGGGTGAGTACTATTGATCAAGAGGTCATTGGTTGTACAGGTGGAGTGGAAATGGGGGAGGAGCAATGGTGGATGAGGAGGGGGTCATAACCGTATGTACACAATACAATACATGATAATAATTGTAGCTGCACACATATTTTTACAAATAAAAACTGTTCTTACATTGCCTATCATGCAAAAAATTGATAACCCACAGGCAAAAGTGATAATGCAAAACTGAGATGTGGTAAAGTGTATCTCTAGCTGGCACACACTGGGAAATTGCACTGTTGGGCAGTGCTAATCTACTGTACCGTAATTTCATTCAAAGCAAATGGCAGTCCCCAAATTTGTGCGATTTCTTGGAATTTTTATCAGCATTTTGTTCATTTCTCAACTTCATATTCATAATACTGACCCGCTTTATAAAAAAAAAATTCATGTCTTGGAGCTAATTCACAATGAGCAGGATTATGACATCAACAAGTCTCACTCATTATCTGATTGTCACTTAACCTACTTGTATTGCACATTTAAAAATGCACTCGGGAGCATGAATTTTTAAAATATTTTCCGTTTTGACATATATTATATATATATTCATATTTGGGAAAAATCTCACTTCTCAACTATTAAAAAAACAATATGCAGTTTTAGTGAGATTCTGATGAAAAATCAATCTTTGAATATATCACAAATTTGCCTGTGCGAGCTAGTCCCACCATTGATGATAATGTTAATGACCTACCTCAACTGCCAGCTGCATGTCATCTACGTAGGCCTGTTCTGTTTGAATCAATTCATGTATTCTGCTCTGTCGATGTTTCTCCATCTCGCTCATACTCTCCAGCAGATGCACATCATGGGTCCCTGTACGCACAAACATGAATAATTCAAAGTAGGGTGATGTACATGTAAAGCTGAACTGATAAACTTTCCACCCTAGTGTATACTGATTATTACCCAGCACCATCTCATGGTCAACTTGCTAACAGTGCGTGATCCAATACCTAATACCCACTTCACAGAAAGAGGACTACATGTAGATGCGAGAATTAACCAACAGCGAGTTACAGGACCATACCACTACAGCTGACATGAGATGGCGCTAGAGAGGATTTATGCTACACACCCAATGAAAAGAGTTTTTAGTAGAACTATATTTATTCATCCTCCCAAATGATATTTTTAATTAGTCACAGTGAAATATTTATGATTGAAATTTTATTTAAAAAATATCCATTTGGCAAACACTGTTACAGGTTAAATTTCTAATGTAAATAGAAAAGGCATATTGTCTGTATCAAGTACAGGAACGAAATACAAATGCTGTATTTTCCCCCTTCCAATTCATTCAAAACAAAAACACAAAGATTCTTACCTGTTTTCTTTATAATGTAAACAGAAAAGGCATATCATCTTTTTACAGTACATACATGTACTAAACTAAAAGTGCTGCATAAAATGTATTAATATGATTTTTGGGGAACATTATGAATTTGGTTTTCGGCATAACCAGAACAATGTGAATGCAAAGAGAATCTAACAAAATACAGTAAGATATGGGCATAAAAAGTGGCACGGTTGTTATACCATCAACTATACATGTACACATTTATTACATACATGTATACCTCCATCTCTCCATCTCTCTCCCACTCTCCCCATCTCTTTCCTTCTCCCCCTCTCTTCTGTCCCTCTCATTCTAATTGGTTCAGTTTATACGCCCTCTCCTTCTTTCCATTCCCACCTTCTCTTCTTTTCCTACACATACCCTTGTTACCGATGACATAAATAAACACTGATTTGAAACATGCAGCTAGCCTTTCTAAACTAATAATCATAGGAATATTGTAGTCTCATTGCCTCTCATCTAGACATCTAGATTCTTTCCAGGTTCGGTTGGGTTCTAGTACAACATATATATATACTTTTTTTTTTTTTTTTTTTTTTTTTTTTTTTTTGGGGGGGGGGGGAGACTTGAGAAAACTTGGGAGGGCATGAGCCCCCGAGCATTCCTCTTCCTATCTAGAACCACTTCTGAAACACTTCTGAACTGCTACCCCTGCTAGAACCTATCAAATATATTTAACAGTCATGACAGTCTTCTCTTTGGACAATTGTGGAAAATTTGAATTCAGGCCATTGTGTAGGAGCAGGAGAACACTAAATATCCTCTTCTTTTTGTTTGTTTTTTGCAAGCAAGTTTCCTTCTTGTACGTTAGAGTCTAGATGCTTACTAAATCGAGGTGACTCACAGCACATGTACACTATAAAAAGGAGTGAACATCGGTTTGGCGATTTACAGCTTGTTGATTGGGCAACTACATTTTGACACTCTACAGAATCCTAGATTAAAACTTTGGTTGCTTTCTTCATCTTTTTGCACAGTTGCTCATTTGCCACAAGAACTTTTTTGCACAAAACAAGAGGCACCAGTTGATGGAAGAACTGCTTTGTGCTACACAATGAATTTGATCCATTACAACCCTTTTAACAACGGTAATGCACTGGAAACGGTTTAACAATCTTGAAGCTTTTGAATTATCTGCCCCATGATAAATACAACAACATGGTACAGGAATATTATTTGTGAGGCATACAAAGAGTTGAATTCGTATGGATATTAAAAACCCCAAACTACTAACAACCAACAGCAACTAATACTACGACTACTACAACTTCAAACAACTCCATATATGCACTGGAATGAAATATCACAGCCAATTTATTTCGGTCGATTTCATTGATTTTAATCAATACTTTAACACATGATGGCTGAATTTATACATGCACACATTAGCAGGAGAGAAGGATATATATAATATATTGATATAATGTAATATTCATATTTTGCATGCAATTCATAATAACCTATATATGGCTTGTAGAATACACTTCCACAATCTTGGATCCACAGATGTTCCGGCAGCACCTTATTACATTTTCAACACACAGTTCACTTAAGTCACCATTTTGTTCCTTTTGAAAACAAGATATTTTTGTGCTTTTACATAATCTTGATAATGATAAAAAGTATTTAAGTTTGTATTCTAATTGAGTAAATATGTCAGATTCATCAGTGCACAAGAGATGTACCATATTTTTTGATGAAAAAAAGCAATGCTAGAAGTTCTCTGTTTGTCCTCTAGGTATAATTATTGTGCGTTTAATGCCATATACTGTGCTGTGCTTCTGTAAATATTTACTGTCCCAGAATCTCATTACAATTTGTAAATCAGAGCCTACTTGCTTAAATTTCAGTCATTGAGATGCGCCAAATGTTTCATCCCTCATGAATTATTTGTGGATCAAAAAAGAAAGAAAAAAAAAGCTAACTTTGGAATCACACATGGTATCAAAATCAATTTGTCCGGGTTCCAATGTTTCTATTTTCTTTACATCTTGAATTAGATATAAACATGTATATACAAGAAGTTTATAATCAAGTGCAGTATTCTTAATGTCTTCAAGTTACAGGATCGTTCCCTCTTTAATACGTAAGTGCAAAGTGCTCATTTCAGAATCAGTAAATTTCAAAAACTACTTTATATGTTCATACAACACTTAAGTGTACATATCACTGTACATACCAACATGCATGTACAGAATAATTCAAATCTTAATCACAAATCAGAAATTTGAATTCTAGGGCAACAACATTCTACTGTTTGCTGAAATGGTATGATCAGTTATATCTCATAAAAGGTGAGCTCTGCAAAATATGAAACAACCTATCCTAATTATCAGATATTATATCAGAAGTTTGGTCACAACAGGAAGTTAAATTACTTAAAGATCTCAATCAAGTTGAACAATTTATGTTTACAGTAATTTCTTTCTTCTACAGGTGCAATTAATCAATATATTTTGGTATACAAAAAATCTATATAAATTTATACAGGAGGAAAATAACACTTCCTCAAAAATAGTGTAAAGTACCAATATAAAAACATTTTAAAAAGGTAATATAGGGAACATAAACAGGGGATGATTATAGCTGCTACTTTCTACATTCTACATGGCAGTACAAAAATTACTGTTTTCTAAACAGGATCTCTTTAAAAAACAAAAAAATGTAATCAAGTACATGCAGAGGTTCCTTAAGAGTAATTATATTTCATCAATTTCATCGAAGCTGCTTGATGCTTTCACCAGTTGCTCTACTCCCATGTGGTTTCTACTTGTAAGTACTAAAAATGGATCTATCTTTAAATGACTCGCTAATCTAAAGATTGATATGCCTCAAATATTATAAAGTTATCTCTTCAATCATTCTGTCCAATTCTTATCATATCTATTTCTACAACTACAACTAAATGTCTGTAAATAAAGGAAAAAGGTACTCACAATAAACTATCCATTTGATATATTCTTAAAGTACATATATTGTATTATCTATCTACTCATTCTATACATGAAATGTCTAAAAATTCATACCACAGAATTTCTCATTAAACTGTGGCAAACAAAATATGTTCTCCATTTTGTTTTCAAGTACTAGTATGGCAGGAATTTTACTCATAGGCTGCTGCAAGGGCTATGTTTATGAATGGCAGTATCTGCCTTCTTGTGGGTATTCAACAATATTTATAAATCTATACTAGACTGAACATTATGGAATGGAATGTTCTCTCTCGTGAGTCATACTAGCAGATCAGTTGAAGTGTTTAAAATAATCTTAAAATTTATCTATCTATCTAATTTGGCATACCATTACTTTCTTCTAGGGTTCTATATCTTACTTCTGTTCCATTGTTTATAATGCAGATGCTTTTATGCGATCTCTTTTTTCGTTTTTCATTTAACAAGTGCATCTTGGGCATTTGATTTCAAGTAGATTCGGCGCCTTACAAATCTCATATATTATGATCAACATTATCCTATATTGCATTTACTACTGTACTTCAATGTCATTGTCATATACTGGGTGCATTTAATCATGGCATGATAACATTTTAAAAATCTAAGAATCAAATAAAAACTTATTCAAATTTAAGAATGGATAGGGTACATGTGTACTTTTGGTGTTTATGGTAAGTGAAATGATGATTAGAAAATATCTACAACCCTATAACAAAAAATATTTTATATACACCCAGTACTGTTTGTACATAAATCTGTACAAAAATGTACAACCTCCAAATATGTATAGCTGTAGAGTCAATATATCAATCAATAAATCAATCAAAATAATACCTGCCTCAGCTACATAATACCAGTTTTCTTTGAATCAAACCAATACCCATTTTTTGACACACACATAAAAGATTGCACTCTCTTAAAAAAAAATAGGGTACTCTGTGATCGTTAAATGTAAATGTAGCTCTCTCTCATAATGATACATGTATTCCTATTCTGAAAAGTTATCTCTTGATATAGATGTAGAATGTAGCTTTCTAAATTGAAACGGAAGGGCGATTCCCTAGTAAATGATGACACCATCAATATTCTACAGGTGCACCTATCGTATCTCTAAATTGAGAGCACTTTTGTATCACAATTTACTGTTTTGAAATCTGTAGAATACCGTCAGCAATATTAATACATTGTGCGTTCAATCAATCAATCAATCTAACTGTGGTATTGTCTAATGCAAATAGTTGAATGTAAATTGCATAGAAGTTCTTTACAAATTTCAGTCCAAAAATATTTAGACTATGTCCTTGTTTCCCTTGGAAGCCCCTGTTGATAGATAATGATGGCTGGGCAGGGTTCTTATGGCAGAAAGTCATTTTTTGAAAACGTAGGGTTATAAGGGCAGTATAAATACGTCACGGCAGTATGCATAACGGTATAAGTGTCCATGGTGGAATTATAAAAAAAAAAATTCTTTATTTGTTTCACAACATTGGCTAACATTTGTTGTG